CCAAGACCAAGATTGATAAAAAAATCCTTTTTATGAATAAAAATTAAGTTAAAATAGTCAACCTTGAAATAGTTGAAATAGTAAAACTTGAAAAATTTAGTTACCATATGTAAGGAATTAGTGTAACCAGTATCCTTTGGAATTTAACTCTCAATTTTTCATTTGGGCTTAGATTTATAATTACTAAATTTGCATTAAATAATTTGTATTTATTAAATTTAGATTAAATAATCTACATTTATTTAAAGTTTTTTTTTTCTAAAGGTGAATATTAAGAAGAAAAATAAAAATAGTTTCATGATTGCTGACTTAGAATTGAGTTTCTGGTTTTCCAATGAAAGTTAATTTTCACTCAGTTTTTGTTTAATGTTTCAATAATTAAATAAACTTGTTTGTGAAATTTGTCAGTGAGAGAGTAAGATGAATACAATGGAAATCTTAATATGCCTAAGTTTATTGGAATATATTTTAAAAGAAATTAAACAGAAAAAAAACAAATATTGTTCTTTGATTTTATTATTTATTTTCGCGAGATATAAGTGATTCATATGCTTCATACAGATTCTTCAACTTCAGTTCTATCTCCCAAACCATTCTAGTAAATAATTTGTTGCAATAATAACTTTTTAAATTGAAATAACAAAGACAGACTATTCAAATATTAGTTTCCCGCCGATCCAATATGGCCGTCCTCTCCGTATGACCGCACTGTATTATTAAGCCACTGTAAGATAATATGCTTAAGCGCGCATATCAGGCTCAGTGGGATCGTTTAGAACTTCTATGCTAAGGTGCGCTTAACAGGCCAGTGGGAACGCCTGGAACTTCAATTAAGATATCCTAAATAGGTCCAATCACGAGCGGATCTACAGGGGGGGGAGGGGGGCTTTCTGGCTGAAGCTCTCCATCCCTCCATCCTCCCCCCCCCAAAAAAAAATAGTAAATTATAAAACCTTGTTTTATAGAAAAAAAAAAATTAAAAAATACCTTTTAAAGTATTATTGTTCGTGTAATTACATTTAAAAGGACTTAAGGAATCATTTAAACACCGTTTCATATAGGTAGTTAGTTTCTTTCTGTTTTTCCAAAGTAATTATCGTTTATTTTTAGGAAGAAAAAAGTTTCGGGCTGAAGCCCCCCCTCAAAATTAAATCCTGGATCCGCTAGTGGGTCCAATGGATCCGTTTGGAACTGCTTTACTGTGGAACCAGTTGGAGCTATTATTGAAAACTATTTAAAAGAAATTTTGAGATGTCACTGAATACACTATCAATTATTATTATTATAGCCCTGGTGTCAGGTGCAGGCGAAGATTTGAATGTAAGTTATGAAAGGGTACGTCATTCTAAGTAAAATAAACCATGTCTGACACGGGCGGATCTACGGGGGGCCTTTCGGGCTGAAGCCCCCTCAAAATGGTAAAATATAGCCATGTTTTATCGAAAAAAATAATAAAAGTATCTCTTAAAGTATTATTGTTTGTGTAATTACATTTAAAGAGGCTTTAGGAATCACTTAAACACCATTTCATACAGGTAGTTAGTTTCTTTCATCTTTTCCAAAGTAATTATCGTTATTTTTATGAAAAAAACCGCTTTCGGGCTGAAGCCCCCCCCCCAAAATTAAATCCTGGATCCGCTAGTGATGTCTGATATTCCAAATCCGCTGCTTTCAAAAATGGCGGTGATTTATATTACATCTACGGATCAATTCAGGTCGAAAAGACAGTAACTCCAAACGACTGAAACACAATTTAGATTAAACTTGCCTTAGAATTTCTCCTTGAAGCTCTTATATAACATACATTTCTTAAAAGAATCTGGGAAAAAGTTACGATTAATATAAAATTTTATTTATGAACAACTCAAAAAACTATAAAAGTTTTGGTGATTTATTAATTACCTTATCAGAGTTCTCGTCAATTGTACCGACAGTTCTCGGTAAAAATCGTATCTCTCTTCTCTTCTTAAAAAAAGTGCAAACGAAAGATAAGACAAGTCGTAGATCATATAAAATTATACTTGCTCTGGCCTGTCCTATGTTTTCCTCCTAGTTCTCTATCTTGAAACTTTTCAATCCGAAAATTCCATGTCCAGTCGAAATGTGCCCCCTCAAAAATTCAAAACCCAGTTTAAATGTGCCCCCCTCAAAACTTTAATGGCGAAACTTGCACTATGAAACTCCTTAGTGGGCACCCCTGGGAGAGAGGGTCGTCCAAATTTATTGTTACAATAATTAATTTTACGTAATGATAATAGGTTGCAAATATTAATTAGGTGATATAGTATTCAGCTGAAATAAGGTAGATAATTTAGTTCTAAAGGTGTATTTTTCAGAGCGAATAATTTGATGATGTATTTGACGTCTAATTTATGACTTCAATAATAAAACAATTTTTAAAGACTCAAATATTTTGTGCTATGAGTTTGTACACAATCAAGCAGTTGTTTTTCAAAATTCTATAAAACTCATTGAAGGTGACAACATTTCAGAAATCGAAGAAGTTATTTGCTGAGCAGTTCTCGATAATAAGTTCTCAACAATTGTTCGGTATTATTAAAGTTTAACGTTCCTTATAGGGGCTACACCTTATCCTGGAATGAACCTAGAAACTCGACATTACTATTAGCCGTTTCGTTTCGAAATAAATTGCGCCCGAAAAACCTGTTTCGATAGACTAGTCCCAAAATATATATAACAAATTTGTTGAAATAAGTCTAAAAAGTCACTTTCTTTAAGCTCCTTAAAATTACATATACATGGGCGCTGGGACGTGCGGACTAAGTCGCTTGCAATAGGTAACCAAGTTAAGCAACGCCGAGCGTAGTTAGCACCGCCCACCAGGGAAAGCCAAGCTGCCCAAGACCCCCTCCCGGCTTTGTAAGATCCGTCAGCCTACTGGAGGCAACTCACACCGACCGGTCATAGGACGTAGAATACGGGCCTAATCTGTCCTATCCTAAAGAAAGGCTCCATGTATGAGCTTAGTAACTAGAGAGGCATAGCACTCCTTCCGGTTGCCAATAAGATAATGAAAAATATCCTAATAAACCGGATATATCCGTATTACGAAAATATAATAGGCGACCACAAAGCTTGATTCAGAAAAGAGAACAGCAAGCTAAACCAGATCTTCATCCTAAAACAAGTACTCGAAAAACGATGGGAAGTAGTTCAGAACGTCTACGCCCTGTTTGTCAATTTCAAAGTAGCCTATGATTCTGTAGGCAGGAGCTGTCTTTGGAAAATCATGATTGAACTAGGAGTTCCGGGTAAGTTGGTTAGATTGGAAAAGCCGTGTATAATGATCCCAAATGCTCCTAATCAAAGGAGAAGTATCTAAAGCCTTCAAAGTTCGAATGTGCTTATGATATGGAGATGAACTATCACCGATGTTGTTCAACTTAGCCCTGGAGAAGGTAATAAGAGCAACATCACGGGAAAATGGAGGGGTTCACGTCGGAATGAATCATAAATTCCTTAGATACGCAGATGACACAGCTGTCCTTGGAAGTAATCAACAGGAAGTTGAGAAACTCGCTACAACTCTGATAAGAGAGGCAGAGTAGATCGGCCTACAAGTAAATGAAGGCAAAATAAAATATATGACAACTGCACTCCAAAAACAGAATCTGTGTAGAAAGAAAATCATTCCCGAGAGTAGAAAAATTCAAATACCTCGCCTCCACAATAACCTCAATGAATGACCACCGAGCAGAAATAGACCAGCGTGTAACTAGAACAAACAGACCTTTCTTTTCTCTCTCAAAGGTATTGAAATTTCGACAAATCTCAAGAAATCTCAAATTCAAGGTGTACAGTGCTGTAATAAAGCAAGTTCTAATATATGGCTATGAGATCTGAACACTAACCAGCACCCTAGAAAAAAATGTTAAAGGATTTGAGAGGAAAATCCTCCGCACGAAAACCGGAGCGATCTGAGATCAGAGTACTAATACATAGAGAATAAAGAACTGCTTACAGAAACTGGTCAGTCAATATCCCATAATATGAAGGAATGGAGGTTAAGATTGGAGGAGCGTATAGCTCGTAGCAATCCATCTGGAAGCCTCCACGTAACAATGAATACCTCTATGGAAGACAAAAGACCACGAGGAAGGACAAAAAGAAGATGGATAGATAGAATCAACAACTCTCTTCCTCATGACGTTTCGTAAAATGAAAAGATAAAAACCGAAAAAAGTGAATTTTTTGAATCATAAATTCAAATTTTAGACTTGAAATCCACAGGTATGGAGTAACTAACAATTAAATCATGTCTTAAAATAGTAAATACAATACATTTAAAGAGTTGGTAGCTTTCTATATTTATAGAGGCCCTTTTTATATATATATATATATATATATATATATATATATATATATATATATATGTTTTATATCTACATAGAGGCTCTATTTATTTTTACCTGACCGACAATTTGTATTCCAGTGGCTGATTGCTTGCAAACCAGCATTTTCATCAGACTTGTGGACAAGGTCAATTTATAAGGACAAACCTTAGTATGAAATAAGGTACTTTTTTCGGCATGGGCTCCCGGACTAAATATCAAGTTAATTATCACTCATATTTTTATATATAATATAAACCCCTGAGACTATAATTGAAGGAGCCATGCCATGCCAGGGGTACTCATCCCTCCCCAAGGTAGACATCACAAGCATCTATCCCACCATTGATGGGTTTTTGAATTTTTGAGGACAAATTTTAACGGGGGGGGGGGGGGGGGGGTTATAAATTTTCGCAATGAAAAGTTTCAGAATAAGGGACAAGGAGAAAATGTGGAACAGACCAGACTGTCCCCAACTATAATTGTGTCATCTAATTCTACTTTCCCTTGCTCTGTTTGTATTAAAATATGAGCAAACAATTTTTTTTTGAGAAAGAGGGGGTGTAGGTTCTTGTGTCATCCACCTCAGAGGGAGGGAAAGCACTTCTGGTGATCTTAGATCAAAAGCTATTAGCTCAAGAACCGGGGTTCCAATTCGGCTGATGTCTCCTAATTTTTCATTAGGAGATGGACCCTGGAGTCCGAAGACACGCCTGGGGCACAACTAACCTCTATCAAGTGAGTACTCTTAATTAAACAATTAACTAAGGGGGGAAAACTGATGGTCAAGCATGATTCTGACCTGAAAAGGCTAGATAAAAAAGTTTTAAGCATTTTCTGACCAAGGCAATTTATGAAAGAGATGAAGCCAAGATGCATCATACTTAAAAATAATTGTATCGAGGAAATAAACTAATCAATCAGTTGGCAACGAAAAGGAATAAATAGGAGACCTTAGGCCAAAAATTGAGATATTGCTTTCTCTTAATATATATAGGAGGTAAGTGAAAGTAAAAATGAACAACACATCCCCAGCTGACTAGTGAATGTGTTTCTCAGAATTGCACAGTGAATCACCTCCACAAACTATGTTTCAACTTATATGTGTTATTTTTATAAATACTGCATTTGCCTGTTGAATCAACATCAAAATTTTGAAAGGAAATGGTACTATGAAAAGAAAGAGAAAGAGGAAACTGTGGTCTCCAGACTTGTACATTCAAATATGTCCTCCCAGACTCCCCTCATGGTTAGAGAGACTCAGTTTAGACACTAATCCAGAGCCAGGACGATGAATGGTTGGTCCATCCTGTTCAAACATTCACTGGGTCCTACAGTTCCTCCGTATTTTCATTTAATGAATGGGAAGACCAGGTCATCTCATTAAGGAGTTCACTCCATCTGGCATCTTTGCGCAGCCTTGATGAAGTACCTGCACAGTGTGTTGAAACAAAAGCACAAAAAAATACAATAAGTTTCACTTTATGTGTTTTTATACTTCATTGTCTTTAAACCTTCATCCAACTTTTACTAGAATTACATTTATGGTAAATGGCATCCACAACATTATAATAAATTAATTTAAAATACCTGAAACATTGTTATATGTGGAAGAATATATCTCATGTCAAGTATAATAACATTATATGGTACAATTTTATTTCAATTTTATAATTACATTACATAATGAAATGGTTTTAAATAAAAATATATACAAAAAAAGGGAGTTTAACTCAATTGATTTAGCAAACCAGTACAACAGTAAAAATATGGTGTAAATAATAAATAAATGGTAACAATTAAACTTCACAGCTTTTAATATTTATTGACCAATTAGATCGAATTTTCAATATAAAAAATAACATCTTATATATAGCATTTCGTTAAATTCTATTCAGTCTATATGAAAACTTGAACTTTTATCTTCAGCTGTTTTCTATTAAATAGAAATTAATGAAGTTCTAAAATATACAACACATATTTTAAATAAGTTGTTTCTTAGCTTGATCAATAAGCTCTCTAGAAATGATAAGTCGTTGTATTTGAGCAGTTCCTTCATAGATTTGGTATATTTTGGCATCTCTCATCAACTTTTCAACAGGATACTCAGAATTAAATCCATTTCCACCAAATATCTAGAAGTCACATAAAAAAGTTGGTTAATGTACACAGTAATTTTAGTAAGATATTAAGATAGTAAGATAAAATATAAAATAATAATAATAATGATAGCAAACATATATAAATGAATTATAAAGCATATGTTCACATATCTTAGAATAAATTAAAATATAATTTTTACAAAATTGTATAATATGTTGTATCCATAAAACACCCAAATAAATAATTTCAGGTCTGCTATCAAAATATTATTGACTGAAACATTACAAAATCTATCTAAACCCAGCACAAAAACATTTTCGTAAATAAAAAATAATTGATGGTTCCGCTAAGCTAAAATAGCTAAAAAAATAAAATAAAATAAAAATAAGAAGCTACCAAAATGAACTTCATTTCAATAATTCAAAGGAACTAATCATTATATTTTTTACCTGTACAGCATCGGTAGCACACTTGTTTGCAACATCAGCCGCATAAGCTTTAGCGATGGATGCTGCATAAGTGTTCTTCATACCTTGATCAACTTCCCAAGCTGCTCTCTGCCAAGCAAGTCTAGCAGAGTTCACACCAATTGCCATATCCGCCAACATAAACGCAACAGCCTGTTAAATAAAATTAAAAATTAGAAATGGAAAAATATTTTTTTGAGATATATGATCAAATTGTTTTTTTTTTTAATAAAATATTTTGACACAAACTCATCAAATTCTAACCAAGACCAATAAAATTGTATTGTTAAACAACCAATAGAAAATTTTGTTTAAACCTTTATGGAACATAACATTATACTTGCAGGATGATATCTGATGTGTTGATACAATGGACATTTGTCCCCGTAATCAGGAATGACACTTCAAAAGTTTGAAAAAAATTTGGTGATGGTATATAGCCAGTGCCCATTTAAACACAAACAATTTCATAAAAATGTTTCTCATGTTTTTTCTTTCTATTCGAAAAACTATTGTCAATCAAAAATATAATACATATAGTCCTTTCGGTTTTTCAGGGTGAAATAAAAAAATGTAATATAGACATAAAATTTATTTTAATTTTAGTCTACAATATATTGAACATTATTTAATATGACTTTTTTCAATCTTTCCACTAACTCCATAATGCCATGTTCATAGAATGTCTGGAGTTTGTTGTTAAAAAAATGATCCAAATGGATTTTGATGTCCTTTTCCTTTTGGAATTTCTTTCTATTCATGGAATTCTGAAGAGACCGGAATAAGTGGTAGTCACTTGGAGCTATGTCTGGTGAATAGGGAGAGTGGGACAAAAGGTCCCATCCAAGGCTCAATAATTGATTGCGAGTGACCAATGAGATCTGGGGCCTAGAACTGTCTTGGTGGAACACAACAACCTTCCAATTTGCGAGTTCTGGGCGTTTATTTTTAATTGATTGATCCAATTTTGTTAATTGTGAGCAGTATAGAGTTGAATCAATTGTTTGTCCTCATGGCAATAGCTCATAGAAAATAACACCCTTGAAATCCTACCATATGGAAGGCATTATCTTCTTTTGATGCAATCTGGGCTTTGACATTCTTCTAAGAGCCTCACTACCAGGTCCCCAAGATTTTCTACGGACTACATTATCGTAAAATTTCCATTTTTCAAAAATGGGTTGTTTTGTTGCCCTTTCCGTAGTGAATCACAAACATAAATGTGTGTTGCCAAGTTGACTTCAGTTAGAGAGTGAGGGACCCAAACATTAGGCTTTTCTACGCTTGTGTGCAACACATTTAGAGCCATAGCAATCTCTCGCACTGATTGGGTGGGATTTTGATCAACAATAACATTTTGCTCATTTAAATTTCATGTGGGCAACCAGACTGTTCAGCATCATTGGAGTTAAAATCTCCTGAATAAAATTCAGCAAACTAATTTTAACAGGTGCGTTCGGTTAAGGCATCATCCCCATAAACACTGCAAATTTTTCTATGAGCGTCTGCAGCACACTTATCTTTTATAAAATAATACAACAAAATATGCGAATAATGAATGATATTTTCTTCCATATTCACAATGAAATAATAAACGCAATAATAAGCTAGTTTTAACAAAAGTTAACAGATATAGTTGTAGACATATTACAAACAGGATAAACAATCCACCTTAGGAATTAATTCATCAGATAAGAAGTATATCAGAGTGCCATAAAAATAAACAGAAAAAATGAAAGAACTTATTTGCCAACCCAATATTTTCTTATATTCATTTACATAAAAAAAAGAAAAGAAAGAAAGATGAAGAACCTGTTAAAGAAAACATCATATTATGGTGCTAAGTTTGGCAAATAAACTTAAAACTTAATTATTATAATTTCAATACATATAAATAACAATAAAAACTACAGACATTTTTTATGGTCATCTTTGTTCACATAATTACTGATTATCATTACCAGGAATATTATATATGATTATCAAATAGGGTTATTAAATGTCTATTTGTAAAATTCATTATAATTGTATGGAGAAAAATTTCATTTGTCAAATCCACATCGATTATGTAATAGAATTTTTTTTCTCATAAACAATTATTTACATACAGATTTTTTTAAAAATAAAAAAAGTGTATTTTAAAAATCAATTAATTAAAATTCATTAAATCACAGAAATAAAGAAAAACTTAACACAATTCAGCCGCTTAAAAATCTCATTTGCTGAAATGGTTTAGAAGAAAATTTTGTCTAATTTAATGTGCTGCAATTCGTAATTACCTAAATTATATAGAACTGAAAAACTAGGAGAGAGAATCACTTTATTATCATAAAAGGGTGCTGCCCAATTACATTGGGTTGCTTTAAACACACCATCCTTATTAATCGCTACAGACAATTTTCCAAAACTAATATACAATTATATAGTATTAACAATATGTATGAGCATAGTATACAATTTTTTTTTATCTATATATATTTTTCCTATATTTTTTTATTTATTTTTACTATTTCTTTCATTCATTTATTAGCATTATACATCCCTTTCTGTTCCTTCTCTCCCCTTATACATTGTTAAAAAACACAAAACATAAATTTTCTGCTTTTGAAATAAAAATAAAATCAGATGATGGTCTAATAGATTTTATTGTTAAATTCAAAATCTACTATTACCTCTTCAAGTATTTTCCAATATTTATAAAAAACCCAGTCATTGATTTTATAACTAATTAAACTCACCTGATGAGCTGCGATTGGCACACCAAAAGCTTTTCGTTCCAAAGAATATTTCAATGCCTCATCAAACGCTCTTTGGGCAAGACCTGTAGCAGTTGTAGCTACCTACAAAACACAGTTAATACATCAATACTAGTATTACAATTTAATACCCATAAAACTAACATTAAACAAATTAGAATTGTCTCCTTTAAACTAAATAACCAAAATAAACATATATATAAATCTTAGTAAAAGACTGTAGCTATATAAGAAGTAAAGATATTATATGGCCTTATACATAAAAAAACAAAGAAAACTGACAAACTAATAGAGAGCTAAAACACGATCTTAAGGTATAAAGTGGAAAAATGAAATTAGAAGATAAGCTGAGAGCATCTAAATTTTTAGAGTGGAATAAAAAAATCCCATGTTGAAAGTAGGAAAGGCAGTTTAAATATAAAAGCAAAAACCACTCAAATATGAAGTGATAATTGTGTACTGATCAAGAATGAAATAAAAAAAAGTTGTTTTGGAGCACCATTAAATGCCTACATGATAATGATATCAAAATCAAATTAGCCTACTTTCAAAATATAATACACAACGAAAGAAGGATTCAGAAAATAAATGAGCATGGTTTATTTATTTTGGGAATTATAATTTTCATTCCATTTGATTCCCAAAGAAGCATAGGGCTTACATAAGTGTACTCCATTCTACTCTTCTAGCTACAACCTGTTTTCACCAGTATTGGTTTCTCTAATAAAGTATTCAACCTTGGGTAGGTGATCCTCGGGCAAGTATTGTGATTGACCTTGGTCTGTAGTGTGGGATTTAGTGTAGAGTAGAGTATTTTTTATTATATATATTTGTTTGTATGTCTAACAGTACTGTTATTTTAATAAAAACACTGTCTATCTGTAGTTTACTGAGATGATAGGATATACTGACCATATTACTAGGTAACATTTTAATAAATGTACACTCTCAGAATGTTTTAAATCTGTAAAATGAACATTTTTGAGATAAACCGTGATTCTTGCAGAGAGTTTCTTGCTTTCAAAGGTGCTGTGGTTGCCATGGGTTACTTATCACTTGATTAGGTTTTATAAATTAAAATATTTCTATTTATGTTAGAATTCAACAAACTAAAAATCTATTAAGAAGGAAAACGGAAGACAACAGCTCTATGATCGCTTGGTTATTTTAGATAATATAGAAAGAAACTTTTTGATATTTATAATAAATTTTTAAAAAATATTCTGGTGTGCCTTCTATATTCTCAATAATATACTTCCATATTCTTAGTGAATAAGAGAACTGCAAACCAAACCTGGCCCTTACGCCCCAAACAAATAAATCTTGATTGAGTAAAATAATAGATTAGTTAAGTTCAGAGAAAGCTGTCTTATTGCTTAACTATTAAACTAGAGTGATATTTTCCAGTGGAACAGCTGATCACTTATTAAGCAAATTGCTAATTTAACATTCATAGTAAAGTACAAAGCTTCATTACTTGTGTATGCTGAATAGACTATTTTGATAATATTATATAATTTCATCTTATTATAAGTATTTCATCTTGATAATATTATTTTTCACTGGTGTCACTTATAAATCGAATGCATTAGGGGAAAGGGCAGCTCTTTAATGTGAGAAACTTGCTGGAGTATACTTCAATTTCACGTTTTTTTAAATGGTCATTTTTGTGTTTTATATGTTTACACATATGTACAAGCTAAAATAATAAAAGGATCTAAACAATTTGCAGCATACAATACCTTTGTACTATTAATGACTGGTCTAAAGAAATATCTCACAAGGGATAGAATAAGGCAATATAATGAAATAAAAACTATGCATAATAAATACAAAAAAAAAGAACTCACTCCTGGCCGAGTCTTGTCAAATGTTGCCATGGCAATTTTAAAACCAGCACCCTCTCCAATAAGTACATTCTCTTTAGGTACTCTAACATCTTCAAAAGTTATGCCACGAGTATCAGATGCTCTCTGGCCCATATTCAACTCCTAATAACAAATGAGATTTTAAGTATGGTCAAGTTCCTAAACTCAGCAGAGCTCACTGATGGCATCGAATTCGTCTCTAAACTATGTAATACACTACCATCGATAAGCTCTGTGCTGAGTTTAGAAACTTGCTCTATTCAACTATAATCACTATTATTCTAAAGATAGAAACTTACAAGTTGCAATAAAGACAGAAAAAAAAAATTATAGAGAACATTTGTAGAGAATATAATCAATTAAACACTTTTTAAAATTTTCTTTAAAATGGCTCAAACAATTTTGATAAAACTCATTGGATCAAAGTACAATTTAATAGTTTTCAATGTCAGCTAGGTCTTATCCTCATTGAAATAATCTGATTGGTCTTAAATGCTTTTATTTTTTATTATATTTTTATTTATAGTACCTTTTTTTTTGTTTACTTCAAATAATGACTATCTCCCATTGTTAACAGTAATAAAAAATAGATAAATTAAGATTATGAATGTAAATAAAGGGGAAAAAAGAAGAAAAAGATTTTATTAGGATGATAATAATAATAATAATAATAATAAAAGACTTAACGAACCCAAAGGTTTGATACTACACCACCAATCGCTTATTACACACCTCCCTCCACTGGTCACCGTCTAAACCCAGTCCCTTCGGATCAGCCTTAACACAATCTTCCCACCTTCGCTTTGGTCTACCCCAGGAATCAGATGTTTACCAGTCAGTCCAGAAATATTAGCCTTTCAGGAGTAGTAATTATTTCTATCTAGGAATAAATAATTCTTTCGTTACTAAGTCCAACAATTTTACAAGCCCATTTAACTAAACTCCCCGGTTAACTGATCCTTCTTCGATCCGAATATTATACACAATACTTTATTTTCTAAAACCTTAAGATATTGCTCACATGTTAATGTAAGCGACCACATTTCACATCCATAAAGAACTTCAGGTAGGATAATGGTTTTATAGCCTTTTCTGGTGCGTACTACCTCTCTAATGGCATGTTCTAATGCCGAATTAAATAGGACAGGTGAAAGGGAATCATATTGTTTAAACCTGAATGAACATTAAACTTTTCGGATAAATAATTACCGATTTTAACTTTATAGAGTATTTTACCAGGATAAGATTAATAAAATGGATGCTTAAGATTCTGCTGGAAAACTACAAATTTTAGAAAATTATAGAAAGTGACAAAAAACGAATGAAAAAAATATTATTGAAGTAAATAATTTCTATTTTTTTATGATTGAAAATAAAAGAAATGTTTCTATGGAAATTAAAAACAATTTCAAGAGAACCTAAGTGATTATGTGATGCAAAAATGCACCAGTTTTTAAGTTCAAAAATTGATCACAGAACCAATGTACCTTTCTACCAGGAGTGAGCCCTGGAGAATCTCTCTCGACAATGAAACCTGTGAAAGCTTTAGAAGCAGGTGCCTTCGGATCAGGATTAGTCCTTGCCAGTACAAAATACCTAAAAGCAAAAAAATTAACCTTTTAATTGGGTATTTTACACTTCATAATTTTTCTCACTTCAAAACCAAAAATTTGTTAGTTTATATTTTAATATTGAAGTCTTTTCGACAATATATATATATATATATATATATATATATATATATATATATATATATATATATATATATATATATATATATATAGGCTATTTCGTAATTGCACGAGACTATTTTAGTTATGTGCTCACTAACAAAAAATAAACGAAAAAGTTCATATCAACATATACCTCAATCTCATTTATTAAACAGATATCAAAGGTTAAAGATTTATTATTTATTTACTACGTTGACTAAATGTACAAAGTTTAACGTGTTTAATACTAAATAATAGGATTTAATCACCTGATAAACAAATGAACAATGGGCAAGTAGTTGCTCATCTGTTTGTCTAGTTCTGTGTGTTTTAGTGTGAGTGAATACTGTGACACAGTTATCATATAATTATCATGGGAGATAATACCATAAATTTATTCACTTTTTCAGAACAAACAGACATGCTTTTAACTTATGGCGAGGTACATAGAAACGGTGCCGCTGCTGTTCGATCATAAATGTAACTTATGGAGACCAATGGGTTGGTCGAAACGGACCTGTTAAATGGCCACCATGATCTCCGGATTTAACGCCATTAGATTATTTTGTGTGAGGCTCGATGAAGTGTATGGTTTATTCTGCAGCAGTTGTTACGCAAGAAGAGCTAAGAAATCGGATCGTGGAAGCCACAGTAATTATCAAGCACCATTCTGATGCTATACGAAGAACCAGAGAAGCATGTATTCGAAATGCTGAATGTTGGATTCAACAAAACGGAGGTCCCTTAGAAGAGTTACTCTAAATGTTGTAATAATAATAAATAATAAATCTTCAACCTTTGATATCTGTTTAATAAATGAGTTATTTATTTATTTATTCCACCCTCCAATGCCACTATGGCAATACGGGTGTTTGCGATAGTGTGTTATTAGGCATGAATGCTTAATAACACACTACTACTGGTTAACATGATGTTCACACATCTAGCAGTTCTATCTTCTTCCTGTTTCAGTCTGGCCTTCAGATTCTGGAGGTCTTCCTGGCGCTTGTCCTCATCTTCTGTGGGCACCAATACGGAAGTGAGCGGGCCCCACCACCAACTTCCATCCATATATGAAATCCTTAAACTGCAAGAAATTTTCCTCGATGACTAACTGAGGAAACTCATTTTCAGTGAGGATATTTGTGGATAAAAGTCTTTGCTTCATCTCCGGTTTTATATCATTATCCACACAGACCATTTTGCGGGACTTGGTTATTTGAACTCAGGGGACCTCAAAATGTGAATTTCCGTTGAAAACTTGTATTCCAAAATTTGTAGTCACAATACTTTCCTTACTATATATTAAATTCATAGGTAAGTGAAAGTAATACAGAATAGTTTTTTATTTTATTTTAGAACAATATTTTATATTATGTACAATATGTAGACTGTAATTTATTGTGAAAATTAGAAACAACACCCTTTTTAATAGTCTCATTTATTTCCGTTTGGTTCTCGGAGCGTAATAATTTTTTTATATGAATATGGTGCAGAGCACGGAAAGCTCTGAGAACCAAATGAGCATGTGTAAAAAAAAGGGTATTGTTTCTATTTTATTATTTATACCCCGGAAAAAATCCAACCAACATATTGGTTACTATAATATGTAATTGATCATATCTCCAGGATCCCACGAGGTCCTGAATATTTATCACCCATGTTATATTCAACAGGTAGAAATTTAAAACTAAACAAAATTTTAGGTTTTCCTACCAGTTAGCAACACCTCCATTGGTAATCCACATTTTCTGTCCATTTATAATCCACTCATCGCCCTTCTTTTCAGCTCGAGTCTTGACACCATTGACATCAGAACCTGCTCCTGGTTCTGTTACACAATAAGCCTAAGAAAGAAATGACTATATAACATTTCAATATGTACTTATAACATTTGTCACAGTAGACAAAATGATTAAAAGATAAGAATTTAAAAAATCTGGTGTGGGCAACACACACCTTTCACTTACCCCACTACTTTGAATAGAAATTATTTTCTGGCAATTTTGAGGTATTACCAAATTTTTGAAGTGCATTTTAAACGGAGCTAAAATATGGAACCTGGGCTTCGTTAGATGAGACTAGAGCTGAATAATTTGCCAAACACCTATCCAACACATTCATTCCCCACCCCGAACTCCATCCCACCCACACTGCTGAAGTTAAAGAACTCCTTTTTTTTCCGATTCCTCTCTCCTTGCCTCCTAAAGCTGTCAACCACTCTGAGGTCAAATTCCTTATAAACAACTTGAAACCTTGAAAATACTCTGGACACGATCTCCTTACTTTCCAGATCATTGAAATTAGAGTCAGTCATTCTGAAAACCGAAAGATTCATTTATGCCTAAATAGATTTGAAAGTACATCTGAATATTTAACCTATAAATGATTATAGATCATAGAACTATTAGTTATAAAACCGTTATTGTCCATTGTAAAGTTTACTAAAATCAAATTACGAGATTTTCATGCCTGCCATAGATAGGTCAAAAGTCGTCACACTAATTGTAAGTGGATAGATGTTGGGATTTCACAGAGAAATTTCATTCAACTATTCACTAATTTAATTTTCTAAAAGATTACATGATGATTTTTCGGAATAAACGGACGATAGGTACCTAAATATTTAAATATAATATCAGATCTAGAGTTATTGAACTACAGTAAATATATTTAAGGAAAGACAAATAGTTCATAAAAGAAGCGCACCGCTTCGAAAGAAAATTATAACAAGTTATGATAAACTTTTTCTACCCTCACAAAACACCCATGCAAAGATTTATATTAAATTTACTGTATGTAAAATAAAAATTTAGACTGAGAATAATAGGACTCACAGCTAATAATGGTTCTTCCGTCAGCCTTCCTAAATACTTCTTCTTCTGAGCATCAGTTCCAGCAATCATTACAGGAGTTTGCTGAAAAATAATAAAAGTCATTAATTTATTATAGATAATGAAACAAAAGATAAAGAACATTAAGGAATGTAATATTTCATTAATGAAAGCAATACTATAAATGAATTTTGCATTAAAGAAAATGTTTATTATTCTGGGATAAAGTCCCTTTAGAACCAATAATATTTGTACCTTATAATTGCCAATACCATGTGGTCGAACTGTTCCATACTAGTCAATATAATTCTCTATACGCTAAGTATATGAATTAAAAAAAACTATATAAAGTAATTTGAGCAACAATTAAAATGAAAAAATACATCAACCAGACTGGACGAGGAAAAGATGGTTGCATAGAATAATTTGAAAGAGGAAATTGTTGACATATAGTGTATGGCAGGTGGGATGGAGGGAGCTCAGGTCAAGATGGACTTGTAAAATACAGCAGTTTGGCAGGGAGATGTGTAAAAGTCAGAAGGAAGGGATCAGGATAAACAAGATTAAATCCCACACCATTAGCCCTTGAAGATTTCCAGCCACTGTTATCCCCAGTTGCTAGAAACAGCTTAACAAAGAATTGGGAGCTGGAAGCCCACCCAATAGTTAGTTTGCACTACTAGAAGTAGTAAACTTGGATAGAGGATGGTAGTCGATGACTTTAAGAGATCACAACAATACACCATGTTGATCTAAATGTCAGGGACATGGAAACACCAAGGTCACTTGAAAGGCAGACAGCATAGTCTGCATTTAACATAGTCTGCATTTGGTGTGATGCAAGCGGTTATCTACTTAAGGACTGCCCAAAGAGAAAAGAACAGGTTGGGACAACTTGTATAAAATGCGTGCAAGAGAATGCACCTCCCAATCAAAGAAGGCACAAGGTAGGCATTCAGGACTGCTATGTGCATTTAAAGTGATAAAAGGGTGATCGATTTAAAGGTCAATGATGTAGTAAAAAAGACGTACTATGAGTAAAATAAACATTCTGAAACTAAACATGGGCTGTCAGCACATTGTGGCAGATCGACTCCATGGCCACTTCGAACAATAGAGGAACCGAGCTGTGGGAACATAGTCACAGAATTAGCCTGAATCTCGATGTAAGGAATCTGAGGCAGTATACTAAGGTGGATTGTGTTTCATGTTACATCAGGTGGAGAAGAGTAGCTTTCATGCTGATCTCATCATACCTGCCTGATGGAAGCAATATTGAAGAAGGTATATTCACCATGGAGATGATCACAGTAAGCACTAAAAATGTGGTCATATGGTCAAATACAAAATTCTGGAAAACTGTTTATTGTGAGAAGCCAGCTTGTAGTACTGAATGATCACTCTGCCTCATCTACCTTTACAGGAGGAAGGAGGAGGGTTACTGGGTTTCACCGGCAAGGGGGTTTCAGTAAGAAGCTTTTTGAACACGGTAAAAACATTGATCGCTTATGTCTCAGTTGTGCCATACTAGGAACTGCTGAGCACATGCTTGTCACCTTCACTATCTATGAGGCGCACTGAGAGCCAAATCGATAAGGGAGACAGGCTTCTAAATTTTGATGGAAAATGAGTTCTCTCAGCTGATGACAGAACTAAACTACCCACACTTTAAGAACTTTGTGTTTGGGTGGAAAGAAGTTGTTGGTCAAATCCACTTCCCCTTGGGTAAGAAAGAAGCAACTGTACCGGAAAAGCATCTGGATAGAAGAGAAGAAAAAGATGGTGCACAAATTGAAACATGAATAAAAGCAGGCTGTGTGTATTTAAAACGCACATTTAAATTACAGCTATTTAAAACAATATAAAAACATTAACTTGCAGCAGTGATTTGTTACACTGTCATGTGTATTATCTCACTGCTTCAACCTCTGTATTGCCCTAACGGCACGATAGGATGGAAATAAAATAAATAAAGATGGGATTGATTATTTAAAAAATAAAAAATAAAATAAAAAATAAATACTATACCCCAAGTCCTGTTCCTTCTATAGCTAAAGTAATACCTGTGCAGCCATATGCTAATTCTTCTGAAATGAGACAGCCATCGAACACGCCCAATCCCATACCACCTAGAAAAAAAAAAAGTTTTTTATTAACACTGCTAAAAATATGGCATGAAATAAGATTAACAATATTTAGCCTGTTTATTTAATACAACTTACACTTAAAAAAATTTGTCAAGATAAGCTAAAACAAAACATTTTATTCAAATATACGGTAATAATTGACATGAGAATAATTGAAAAAAAAAATCACCATAAGCTTGGGGTATGTGCGTATTTATTACACCAACTTCATACGCCTTCTTAACTATATCCCATGGAAATGCTCCAGTTCGGTCATATTCAGCAGCCTTGGGCAGTATTTCTTCACGAGCAAATTTCCTAGCCAAGTCACGATATTCTCTTTGAGTCTCATTTAATTCTTTAAAAGAAACAAAGAAGTCAAAAGAAAGAAGCTATTTCATAAAAAAAAAATATATATAAATATAAATATGTTTTAGTTACCAAAGCTAAAGCCATTAGGATAATTTCCTTCAGAAGCAAATGTCCTAACAAATGTCTTGATACTGGGCTTCAAATTAGAATTAAAGACCTAAAAAATAATTTTCACATGATACCAATAGATAATATAATATAACATTCACCTATATTAACATGATATAATAAACATAGTACAGATATAAAAAATTGGTCATAGACCATCTCCTTATTACAAGTTTTTAATTCAAATGCTTGATATACTTCTGCTTATGTTATACTCACAATTCATGTATGTCCTTGTTAATTAAACTCATTTCCAATCAAAACTGAACATTTGGTATCAACTGATTATTTATTTTTAGAACTTTATTTATTTTTATAACTAGAATGTAACCTAACACAGTAATTATTTCTCAATTCTAATTCATTTTTCACTCTGGTTAGCCTACTTTTAAATTGATTTACGAACACTAATTATTTCCCAGAAAATATATTTTGGTTACACATCAGTGCAAAATTATTATTTTTAGCATCAATTGCAATTTGACACAGGTTTAACATATTTCACTAATTATGACCACGGTATGAGATATTTAACTAACCACGCCAATGGTATGAGATTTGACCACCTCTATGATATCTATATCTTCATTTTTACATAAACATTTGACACTTATTATATTCTCATTAGATCTATAAGTTTTTTTGTTGCTTGGATTACTAATGGAACTTAACTGCTTGCTAAAGTCCGGAATAAACAAAAAAGAAAAGAATCATAAATCTAAAAGGTGTTAATTTCATTTCAGTGTTAGGGAACAAAAATACTCATAAATGCTCTTTAATGTAATAAAGTGCTTCCAATATATAACAAAGAAAGAGAAAAAAGTAATAGTAAAGTAGTAACTTAGTAAAAATGTAGACAAGTTCTTGTCCTAGCTCTTGGTCCCACACAAACAGAAATTAATGTTCTTAATATTTTCATGTTCTGTCTTCAAATTTTAAAATTAAATAAAAAAGTTTTTTACAATTTCAAAATAAATGTCTCTTACCCTCTGAAGTCAAATAATACATAAAATTAAATCTTATCTTAAATTTAAGGAGCCAAACACCTGTTCCCAATAATACAGAATAGTCTAAATTAAAGATTGAATTGTTGACATAAGCATATATATATATATAATAACATTTATTAAAATAATTGAAAATGGAGGGGTCATTCATATTTTTATTTCAAGATAATCAAGTTTTATTTAACAAAGATTAAACTACGAACGTTTCTTTACTTTGATTTTAAAATTACGTAATTTACTACTACATAATATCACCTGACTTACTTGTCTCAATGAACTCATTCTGGCTTTGGTAAGGGTTTGGCTGCAAATGAAAACAAGTGAATGATACTGCTTTACTCTTAACTCTGTTATCACGACTAAAGATAATTGTCAAAGAGGTCAATTGTGAACCTTTGTCCGAAACCTCAAGGATTTATGACAAGGCATTTCTCAAGACTTGCAGAGAGATAAAAACTGCTCAACTTCCAATATGCACCCCTTGTGAAAAAGATAACATCTGACAATAAATATCCATTCTTCCAACTTTCAATACTTCAAGATAATTTTTTCCCAAAATGATTTAACAAGGGGATCATATTGAAGTTTTCAGCTTCTAAGGCAGTTAAGTTGCTTTAAAAGATTGGGATATAGTTAATACATTTATTTTAAAATGACACCTATGGAGTTTTAGGAAGATTTTTATCTATATAGATTATGATATACTAAGTCATCATCCTATTAACTGCTCAATCTCTACTACCAACCTAAAATATACTAAAAAGTAGTGGAAGGGTGTGAAGTAGCAAACAGTTTATTTTAAATAGTTTCTTTCGTTTAACAGATACAGATATAGTAAACTCTTTCAATTAAGATTAAATAAGGATGGACAATAATCGTTAGTACTATCGATATTTAGTTTAGTTCGATCGATCGATCGATAGTTTAAGTTATCTATATAAAGGTAGTACTATCAATATATCGATAGTTTAAAATTATAGTTAATCCATGTGACTAACGATAATTAGTATCCTCCCTTAGACACAAATTATATTGGAATTTTATATACTTAAAGGAATAATTTTAATAACACGCCTTCATTCTTCTTCCTACCTATTTATTGATATATGAGGAGGAGTTTCCAGAAGAGGATTTCATGGCACAACTTACACCTTAAAAATTGTTGAGGGGAGCACACTGTGTGTGGGTTTTGCATTTTTAAGGGGGCACATATTTACAGTTTTATTATATTTTAAAATAGATGTTAATATCAAATTAAATTTAGAATTTTACAAATCTTGGATTAAAACGCAAAAAAACCAACGGTTGGGATGCCGAAAGCCCAATATTCGTGGCAGGATATTTTTTCGTATCATACCCACCAATAGTTATTCCATTTTGTCTCCCAAGAATCCTACTTACTGGCCTACATCTCCCAAGAAACGTCCTGATATTCTAGATGTATTCATTACATTCCAAATACCCTCCTATCAATATATAATCAAATCCTTAGACGACCTTTCATCAGACCATTCCCCAATTCTGCTTCTCATGTATTCATCTTGACCGTCTCCTACATCACTGATTACAGGATAAGTAAACTGGGACAACTTTCGGCATGACCTGGAAAACAATTTGGATTTAAAAATTTCGTTAAAAACTAAAATGCAGATTGATTCCGCTATTGAAGAAATCACAAGAACTATAGAAACCTCCATCAATAACAACACCTCACATTACAAAATTAGAAATTACCGAAAAACCAACCTGCCACATCACCTAAACATATTACTGACAGAAAAAAGCAAGAGCCAAGTGGCATAAAACCAGATATCCATCGAATAAAATTATTTACAATAAACTGACAAAAACACTAAAAATAGAAATAAGAAATCACAAAATTCAAAATTTTCAGAACTTTACTGGAACCTAACTACCACTGACAAAACATTGTGGACAACCTCTGAAAAGCTACTCAATTTCAAAATCTTCAATCATCCAACCTCACTAAATCCACATACCTGGTCAAGATCTGACGAAGAAAAGTTCCAAATATATAATGAACACCTTTTCAAAACTTTTAATCCTCAACCCTATCCATCTTGAACATGTTGAAGCAGAACTTACTATCCCTCTCCAGTTATCTCTTCCTCCTAAAGCGTCCCATCTCTCAGAAATAATTAACATAATTCAGATATTACTTTCTAAAAAAGCTTCTGGTCACGATCACACCACCTCCCTAATCCTAAAGCAAGTTACACGAACAGCTGTCCTACTCCTCCCCTATATATATATAATGCCGTACTTAGAACCACCTATTTTCCTGATCCTTGGAAATTTTCCATAATAAAACTGATTCTAAAACCTGAAAAGACACCTGAATACCCATTTTCCTGATATTAAAAGCCATACCCAATCCTAGACTCATATCACTTGATTCCTAATAACCAGTTTGGATTTTGAACATCTCATTCCACTGTTAAGCAGTGCCATCGTGTGGTGGATGTCATTTCCTCCGTATTGGAGCGCGGAATGTACTGCACAGCAGCTTTTCTCGATTTGGAACAGGGCTTTGATCGAGTCTGGCATTCAGGTTTGTTATACAAACTTCTTCAATTCCTGCCTCCTACATATTTCCTATTAATCCATTAATTCCTCACAGATAGAACCTTCAAAGTAAATCATAATTCTGCCTACTCATATCTCTCTTCCCAGTCCGCTGGTGTTCCTCAAGGAAGCATCTTAGGTCACATCCTTTACACAGTTTGTGCAGCTGATATTCCGACCCTTCGTTCTACCGTCCTTAACTCCTATGCTGATGACACATGTGTTATCTTCCAATAATGAACCAATTGTAGCATCTCAAACACTGTAGTCACACATTTCAGCCATTGAAGAATGGTGTCATAACAGGAGGATCAAAATTAATCCAAACAAATCCCAACAAATTAACAAACATATCACAATTAACAAATCCCCTGTCATAAACCTATCACATACTGTCCTACAGTATCCTTTAACAATACTCCACTTATCCCTGTTGAACAGATCCATTACCTAGGAGTCCTTCTTGACAAACGTCTTATTTGGAATCCTCATACTAGATTGAAAAGACAAAAAAGTGCTAACAGATTCTGACTACTACATCACTTACAAACACTCTAAACTTCCAATATTCCACAAAAAAAAAACCCATATCAGACCTTTTTTTTTTTTTTTTTTTTTTTTTTTTTTTTTTTTTTTTTTTTTTTTTTTTTTTTTTTTTTTTTTTTGGTCCTTCCCTTCCTCGCCGTTAAGGCTATACGGGATTTTCCCGGGCCAGGGAGTGTGGGCGGGGATTTAAAAGACTCCCCCGGCACCGGGACGCGAACTCGTGCCTATTTTTATATCTTTAATTCATATGTCAGGTTGCCAGGCAACGGCGGTGCAGTGCACACGCTTTAGCCCATTCGGCTACCCCGCCCACACCCATATCAGACCTATTTGGACATATGGAATAGAGCTTTGGGCTCCATCAAATTCTTCAAATTCAAATTCAAATTCTTCCCGTATCCAATCCTTACAACCCAAATCCTCCATAAAATCCTTAATGTTTCTTATTATGTCACAAATAAAATTATTCATAAAGACCCCAACATTCCCTTTGTTGAAGACTTGGCCCGACTAAGATACTCCTCTTTTAATTCTAAACTCCTTGGTCACCCTAACCCTCTAGTTCATAACCTTTCATCCAAAACAATTCCTGAAACCCTCCAAGGCGTCTGAAAAGAAGATGGCAAAGGGACCTTCCAAATTAATTTTATTTTTGAAGTGCTACCAATGGGTAGTTTCTTTACAAGTTTTTATCATGTTTTATTTATCATTTTAGCATACTTACTTATTGTATATGTATAGAGTTGTAAATATCAATAAATGAACGAAAAAATAGAAAGGATTTTGGAAATTGAAAGACACGCACATTTTTCCCCTTGTTTTTCAACCAAACAATTAAAACAATACTACCTATATGTCGTCGATGTTTCTTGGTTGAATTCAACAATCAAGGAAATAAATACAATTTATTTTTCTGCATAAATGTATTTTACCGTCTATAATTTTTTTAAATTATTTATTTAATATTTTTTATTAGTGTCTTAACATTAATCTTTTATGTTAAGAATGTAACCAATATAAATGTTAATTATTATAAAGCTTATGCAGCATTTTACAGTAAAAACTAAAGAATACAGTGAAAATAAATCCTCTTTAAGTCTGTGTTGGGAAGTTACTAAACTCTCGATACTATTGTTAGTTTTTATTGATACTGGAAAACTATCGACTATCGCCCATCCCTAAGATTAAACAAATCCAAAGTGACGGAAGGGGCAAGTTTCTAAACCCAGTGCTGAACTCATTGATGGCATTGGATAAATGTCTAAACCACCAATTTAAAATTTTTTTTTTTTTAATCGGTGGGCAGAACACCGTTTTATCGGAAAAAAATTATCTTGATTGAGCAATTTCGTGTTGAAAATTCTGAAAAAAATAAATATATTTTTTCCTACAGACTATATTTGAGTTCATTGGCACACATAAAATGGGAACATTGACAACAATTTTTATTATTTCGGCTCTATGGTCAGATTTATGGGAGGGAGGGAGGCTTTTGGGCTGAAGCCTCCCTATCAATATCAAGTTCAGGGGATCATCCTCTGGTGTATCTCTGACATTGTTACCAAATCCCAAAACAATCGGCCCAGTAGTCTCAAAGAAAAGCAGCAGAGAGAAGGATTTTTTAAATTTGTTTTAAGACTACTTTAATTTTGAAAATAATTGAATCCTAATAAAACCTATAAAAATAAAACCTCAAATTTTGAGAGTTAACTTTTTTATTTTTTCTGGGTAGTTAACAAAGATTGAACCTAATCAACCAAAAATATGATTTTATTTCTTTTTTTAATATTGGAGCATAAATAGAAACAAGATATTATAACCAACACAGGTACAAAGAACAGAGGTGACAGGTTTATCAACGCAATTCAGTCAGAAAAATTATTGTTTATAATTCTCATTTATTTTAATTACTTGTTCCCTGTATTAGCTTTATCCTCATTAGTTCAATGTATGTGTTTGAAATCTTGTTTTAGGATAAAGCAATCTTTTATTGCTGAAAAAAAGACAAATGATTCACAGAAATGTGTTTAAAAAATACAAAATATTATTGGTTGATTGCAAAAAGTCATTAAGTGATATTTCATAACCTTAAATAATTAAGAACTTCGAAGAATTTTTCCTTTATGAAATTGAAATATTCTACGCTTGTAACTATATTTCATATATATAAGTGTTTGTGTCATTTTCATGCACTTATAGTGTTTTTGTATGGATAAATAAAGAAGAAATTCACAAAACATATTTGATTGTTAACCAATATCAACTATACACTGAGTGACTTTTTGCAATAAACTGATGACTTAAAATATTATCTGAAATTATGATGTTTTCATCATTGCAGATTATATTTCTAATGTAGCTACTGCGATATTGTTTTTAAATAATTTTACCAGATTTTTTTTTAAAGTGTTTTAAATGGCTTGAATTGCTTTACATAACGATAGGTTTTAAATAAAAAACAAAGAAGTAAACATAATTCATTTATCAAACAGTACAACAGTAAAAATATGACAGTACAAAGGTAACAATAAAACTTTTAATATAAAAAATAACATCTTATTTATAGCTTTTCGGAAGGAAAATGCTATTCAGTCTATATGAAAACTTGAACTTTTATCTTCAGCTGTTTTCTATTAAATAGAAATTTAAAAAGTTCTAAAATATTCAAAACACATATTTTAAATAAGTTGTTTCTTAGCTCGATCAATGAGCTCCCTAGAAATGATATGTCGCTGTATTTGAGCAGTTCCTTCATAGATTTGGTATATTTTGGCATCTCTCATCAACTTTTCAACAGGATAATCAGAATTAAATCCATTTCCACCAAATATCTAGAAGTCATATAAAAAAGTTGTTAATGAATACAGTAAATTTAACAAGATTTTTTAAAATAAGTATAAAATTAATAGCAACTAACATAAATGAATTTACAAAATAAATTATGATGCATTCATATAGACATCCTGGAGTAAATTCAAATATATATTATTTTTTAATTTTTATTCATGATAGGATAAAATGCCCAGTTTTCGGTACCCTTACTTTAAAATGTGTTTGCCCTGATTTTAATCGTGTGGGTACTTGTTTCAACAATTTCAATTTTGTTAAGTCAGTAAAAATCTCTAATTTCAAAATATATATGCAAAATAGAGTTTTTTATTTAGATTTTATAGGTAAATGGAAAAATATCTGTAGGTGCCAGTTTCAGCACCCTGAAGTACCAGTTTTCGGCACCCCTTACCCAATTTGCAAAAACTTAAGTTAGATTTTTTTTCGATCCATAAAACTAAATAGATGTGCGAGATGTTAAAATATGCAAGCACAGAAGAGAGACCCGCTTCAAATGAGCGTCTTTTCCCAGCTCTAGAGACCATTAAATGAAAACTACCAACTTGTAACACTCTAATAAAATTAAAATATAATTTTTATAAAATAAAAAATAAGTTATATCCATAAAACACCCAATTAAATACTTTTGGCCCCATAATTCAAATTTTATTTACTGAAATTTTATATAATATAAACCCAGAGTGAAATAATTTTTAAAAATGAGAAAATAATTGATGAGCAGGCAATACTAAAATAGCCAACACCATCATTGAAAAATAATAATAAAAATCCACCGAAATGAACTTTATTTCAATCATTCAAAGGAAATAATCATTGTAGTCTTTACCTGTACAGCATCGGTAGCACACTTGTTTGCAACATCAGCCGCATAAGCTTTAGCGATAGATGCTTCATAAGTGTTCCTTCTGCCTTGATCAACTTCCCAAGCTGATCTCTGCCAAGAAAGTCTAGCAGTGTTCACGCCAATTGCCATATCCGCCAAGATAAACGCAACAGCCTGTTAATACAATTTTATACTAGTTTAAATTTATTTGAAGAAGAATTCATAAATTATGAATCATTGATCTATTAACATAGAAAAAATCCTGAAATAGGAATCGACCAATACCAATATATCGGCCTTATGACCTTATTTTCTCGAGATTGGTTGAGTTTCACTAGGACTATTATTCTTATTGCTAATAAACATGTCAATAAATCATCACAGAATCACTATATATAAAACTTTGAACAGATAAGAATATTTTAAATACTGATATATCGGCTTTTTGCCGTTATTTAATCAAGATTGGTAGAGTTTCAATTGGAATATCATTCTTGTAGCTAACAAACATGTCACTCAATCATCAAGAGATAGACATATACATGAAGTTTAGCATATACCAATATATTCCGAAGATCGATATATCGACCTTATTTTATCAAGTTGACGTTTCGATCCCGGTATTTTTCTTTTTATAAGTTAATGATGGGATCCTCTTGAAAGTTTTAAAAATAGAGTTTCGATCAGGCCAGGGACACACCAACAGTCTCAGCACCGTCCACCAGCACATATATTAAGTGCTACTGTTAACAGCTTAAAATTGAAGCTCTATTTTTAATACATTGAAATGGATCCCATCGTTAACTTTTAAAAAGAAAAATACCGGGATCGAAACGTCAATAAACATGGAGGAAATGAACATTCAGTAGTTTATTAAATAATTAATAAGTGACCTTATTCCCAATTAAATGGTTATGTTTAAATTTAATACTCAAAGGTCGATTAAAGAAAAGTTGTAAATATACATATATATATTTTATTTTTTTATTAATTGGATCTCAAGCTATTCACAGTCGAATGGTCATGGTTGAACCTGTAAACCCTTAGTTCCAAAATTTAAATAATTGGATATAAAATAAAATAAATATTTTATTAGTGATTTTAAATTAACTTTAAGGAGATAAAAATTTATATATTATTTAATTTTTTATAAAAATATAGCAATATCAATATTTCGTCACCACAAGCCATGAGCTGTAGAATTTAGAGGTAGTTAAAAAGTTTGGCAAGCCCTACTTTAAATGATCATTTTTAACTATTTTTTGTAAGTGGAATTTTTTCAAACATATTTTATAAAAAAAAAATTATATTTTAATAATTAATAATTACAATTCATCCTGGGTCATAGAATAAAAAAGAAACAAACTTTGCATGTAGTTGCTTAAGAACCTATTTGAAATAGTTTTGGCAAAGACCAAATTCTACTTGCATTTGAAGAACATTTTGTCTAATTTACTATTCTGTAATTCATAATTACCTAAATTAAATAATATCTAAGTTATCGCTTTCTATTCAATAAAAAAATTGACTTACATAAAAAAACAAACAACAAAATTAAATTTCCTACGATTCTGTATGGAATTGGATGATATTCTACCATAACTTTTTTGTTGTGCTTGGGATCTACTGTCATCTATATATAGGGATATACAATCATTGGTTTTGTAACAATTTAAACTCACCTGATGGGCAACAATTGGCACACCAAAAGCTTTTCGTTCTAATGAATACTTCAAAGCCTCATCAAACGCTCTTTGGGCAAGACCTGTAGCAGCTGCAGCTACCTATAAAACATAGTTCACATCAATACTAAGTTATTCAATACCAAAGAATTAACAACAAACAAATTAGAATTGATCCCTTTAAACTGAGCTATCACAAAGTAACACATAAGTCTGAGTAAAAGATTGTAGTTATATAAGAAGTAAAGAGAGTATAAATTCTTATTATATGGTTTTTACATAAAAATCAAGAGAAACTGACAATTAAATGCATTACCGAAAAATGATCTTATGGTAAAAAATCTGGTGTGGTGTGCGCATCACACCACAACTTTCACTTCTTAAATAAAAAAACTTTCTTTACCGACTGTTGAGAAATAAACTAATTCTCTTCTCACTTTCGTGTTCGCGTTTCTTAGAATTATTTCCATGCAGTTTCATGGTGGTTTATCAACGACCCACACCAATTACCATAAAATTCGCATTAGACTTCATCATCACAGTCTTCAGTGGGACAATGTATGTTTATCAAAGCAATTATAACTAACACCTCTGGAGAAAAAGTTAAAGGAGTAGTTAAATAATATAGAGTTTAAAACACCTTTAAAGTTTCATATACATAAAAACTTATAATACAATTAAATCTCAATTTAGAACCTTACAAGAAATAATTCAGAATATAAACTCTAACGATCCAGAATCTGTGCATGAGCCTGAGAAAATTTTTAGTGAGGTTTTCAGAAGTAAAAACCTAAAATAATATAGGAAAAAATCTCTAAAAAACAAGCGATCACACTGGATGATTAAGAGCTCACAAGGTGTAGCATGAGTCAGTATTATATTGAAATAAATATTCAACCTAATTTGGAGATAATTAGGTTATCTCCTTATAATTAGGATTATAAAAACTCACTGGTGGTCGAGTCTTGTCGAATGTTTCCATGGCAATTTTAAAACCGGCACCCTCTGCAACAAGTACATTTTCTTTAGGTACTCTAACATCTTCAAAAGTTATGCCACGAGTATCAGATGCTCTTTGGCCCATATTCATCTCCTAAACACAAATAAGATTTTATGTATTCAACTACAATCGCAATTAGCCTAAATATACATATTTTAGGTTACAATATAAGATTGATAAACACAATTTTTTAAGAAAACACATTTGTATAATAAATACTAAAGATAATTTTCTTACTTCCCTTTAGTACTAAGAGAAATAATTGTTCACAAAATATATAAATAATTAGAAGGTTATGTTCAATTCCATTTTATATTTATGATAATAGTAAAAAAACAACACAATAATAAACTGTTAATCACAATAAAGAAGAGTAAACAAATTATATCTAAACAAATAGATAACATCCATTAACAACCCTACATAGTAAGCAATTATTTAAATATAAGAATTGATTACAAAACCAACATACCTTTCTGCCAGGAGTGACCCCTGGAAAATCTCTCTCGACAATAAAACCTGTGAAAGCTTTAGAGGCAGGTGCTTTGGGATCAGGATTAGTCCTTGCCAGTACAAAATACCTAAAAGTAACAAACTATTACAACTAATTGGTTTAAAAAGAACATAAAAAATCATAAAACTAATCAATAACTGCTTCTCATAATTGAGCAGAGTTGACTCTTTTACTAGTTGCAAAATTAAATCACAATTATAAAAGTAAATCACTAAAACCACATACTTTAACTTTTTGTTATAAGCATAGTTGGTTTAGTGCCCTTAAGTTTTTCACCTAGGGCAGTAGGATAAACTGTTCTTTTGAAGTACAGTTTATCGTGTATTGCTTAATGATAATTTTGTATAGTTTGTCCCGATTTCTACTCTAATATACTCAGATACTGTGCTCTCTACATGTGACATTTAATTCAAATCTATCTTCATATAATAAACCTTATAAACATATACCTATACTTGATCTGAAAATAATAAGTATAAATTGTTAAGTTGATAAATAAGAACCTAATTTTTACCTAATTATTTTGGGTTTCAAATATTACATAAGTGAATAATTATGGAAATTAATTTGAACTATTTAGAACAAAAAATCATTTTGTATGGAAAAATATTTAACAAACTATACGATAAATGAAGAAATTAACAAACAATATTATTTCTAAAAAAAAAACATGAGAAATTTCTGAGTAATTAGACAATTAAATTGCCATGTCATCAGTAATTCATTCTTTCCTTTCAGCTCCTTACATTACATAATCTAATTGTCTAATACCTTGAGGTAATTATTGTTATCTTTTTCATAAGTATGCCATATTATATATGAGTCAAGGACAACAATTTACAACTCAGCAAGAGAACGATAACCTGATCGTCAAATCACTAATTTCATTTTAATATGATGAATAAGGTGATAGTTATCGAGAACTTTTTTTATCCTTTGCTTTGTTATTTAATATATGTTTATGTGTATGTACATATTTATGAAATAAAAGCGAAAAAAAAAGTAGACTATTGTTGTAGATGGCTATTAATGATTGTAAAAAACTTCATTAAAAAAAAAAACCCTGAATATTATTGATTTATTTTTTTTATGTCTGTTGTTCATCTAAGGAAAAATCAGCATCTTGACTATAAGAATATGACAGTTATTCCAAAGTTCAATTAATGCTATTAAGATTTCATTAATTCATTAACATCTAAGCACAACTAGGTAGCAGAAATAAATTTAAAATTAAAGAAAACTACAGGTTTTTTCTACCAGTTAGCAACACCTCCATTGGTAATCCACATTTTCTGTCCATTCAGAATCCACTCATCGCCCTTCTTTTCAGCTCGAGTCTTGACACCATTGACATCAGAGCCTGCTCCTGGTTCTGTTACACAGTAAGCCTAAGAAAGAAATAACTATATAACACTTCAATGTTTATTCATAACACTACATGTCCCAAAATAAACTGTTCTAACCATTTAATTTCATTTCTTCCAGTTAAGGAGGAAAGTAAATTGAAAATACCTTTATTTCTAAATGGGTCAATTCCACCCAAGCACAGGCGAATCTATGGGAGAGGAGGGGAAGCTTTCGGAATGAAGTCATCCCAAAATGGTAAAATGTAACCTATGTTTATGGTAAAAAATATTAGAAAATTAACTTTTAAGTATTATTGTTCATGTAATTACATTTAATAGGACTTCAAGAATCACTTAAACACCATTTCATAGAAGTAGTTAGTATCTTTCTTTTTTTTCCTCTCGACCTCCTTCTGTAAGAGGATAAGGCTAAATATATTCTTAAAAAAGAAGGCTTAGTAAATGTTCTGAAAAATTTCTGAGAAAGGATTGGGACAGATCCATCTAAATGGAAAAGAATAATATGAGAAGACATTATTGAGCAATGGAATTGATGGTGGGTAACTACTCATAATGGCTTTAATTTGAGAAAATACTTTCTTAACATCTCTTCAAGGCTAGAAGCAAAAAGAGTACTCCCTGATTATTGGATGTCACAATCCCTCATAGGGCACAGAGGATTTCACGCACTCAAATTGACACATTAGTTCTGAACAAGAAAAGCGATATGCCTCAATTAAGCTACTAGTAAATTTACTCCAGACATGTTGGACTCGTTAAAGTTGCTACAATATGCACTCCTCTCCTTGGTCTACAGAAAAAGTCTATTATTTAGTCCAGTCTCTTATGGTACTGGTGCTGGTGTGGGAACTAGGCAAGTAGGCCTTGTGGTCCTTTTTTTCCAATCCCTGATAGTTGCTGTCGCGAACTTCACAGTATCAAAATTCATTTCCTGGAGCAGCTGAGAGATCCATAAAAACCCCGACCCAGGTGGGAATCAAACCTACCACATTCAGAACTGGACTCTCTGGGGCCGACATCAATAATATTTCAAATACTTTAATTAATAATTATTTTTAAAATGTGAGTAAAAATGAATAGTTCACAAAAGAAGCAAGCATACTGCTTTTCACTAGTGATTCGAGTGAACTTTACATCAAGTTATGATCAAAGTTTTCCTCACTCACAAAATACCCTTGTAGATATGTAAAGATGTATATAAAATTCTCTTAAAGTTACATGAAAATTTAAACTAGAAATCACAGGACTTACAGCTAATAATGGTTCTTCAATCAACCTTCCCAAATATTTCTTCTTCTGTGCATCATTTCCAGCAATCAGTACAGGGGTTTGCTGAAATATAAAAATAATAATAGTAATTAATTTATTATACATAGCAAAATGAATCATAAAATAAAGGAATATAATAGGTATATATAAGAAATTGTAGGGTCAGTGAAATTGGTTTCAGTCAATGAAGTACACAAAAAAATTGTTTATTTTGTTTGTACTGATGTATTTACTATAAATTTCTATAGTAGAGATGGGCAGTACTCGATTACTTACAATATTTGAGTACCTTAATTAGCGAAAACGTAATGAGCACTTTCTGTACTAAGCCTGTCCTCGGCAAGTACTGAGAGTAATCACACAGTGTTAATCATACATTAGTTAAGTACAGGAAGTATGGCGAATATTTCCCACCGGTGCCGAAGGGCTGGAGTACAGGGCCAGGCGTAGGTACCAGGAGTGGAGAGATGAGGAGATGAGGCCTGCACCCCGCGAGGAGTACAAGTATAGACATCGGGTATACCGAAACGGCATGTGTCACCAGAAGAAGAAATCCTGGGACGAGTTCATTGTCGAGGAATCGGAAAAAAAAAACCCTGGGGTATCCTGTACAGGATGGTACTGGGAAAACTGGGGACAGCAGCAGACAATTACTGCTATCAGAGTGAGAGGAGCTCAGGCAGTCACTCTAGAAGAAGCTTCAATAATGTATATTGATTAAACGTGCCTCAGGGTCGATCCGTCCCAGGATAGTGAAGAGGATTACATAGGCAGAAGCACCATGATATACCCGCCAGGTACTGACCTTCACTCCACAGAATAGATGCTGCGAGGAGGAATTTCTCGAGATCCTTAACAAATGTATGGACAGGGAACACTTTCCAAGGAAGTGGAGAACCCCAGACAGGAGACAGCTCTACAAGCGGGGAGGTAAGGACAAGGAATCACCTTAGGATTATCGTCCGATATGCCTCCTCTCTGTCATCAGTAAAGTCCTGGAGCACATGATTACAACCAGCTTTAGACCGGTCAGTGAGAATCCCAAACAGTGGAAGATCGTTAGGGAGGACTTCATCCCAAAATGGAATGGGAACGGCACCACAGTTGAACCTAATATATTGTTCCCACATTAAACCATCCTATAATGTTGTAAAATAAGAAATGTTGTTAATAAAGTATTTTATTGGCAGTAGTGAGTGTACGTATACGCAACGTATGAACCCACTATTGCCGAAACCCTGTGTGCCAGAAATGGAGAGTAATAGAATAAAAAAGTACAGAAAGTACTTGCGATGTGATATCTGATTACCGAAAGTAATTAGCCAAATTGCTCTGAGTACTTTTAATTTTTACTCCATCATTATTATAAGGAATATTGATATTTGCATTTAATTCCTTCAATAATAGCATCCATATCGAGGTTATATAAGATCAACTTAATCGATATTAGGGTCAAATATAACGTTGTCGGGTGCACTTATAATGAAAATACTGTTAGATTCGAGTTTTGTAGTCTTTAGGATTTAATCGAAATGAGAATCCAATATTATGTTGTTGGGATATTTATGAAAATACTACCTGATTTTAAAATTGATTAAATCCGAAAAATTACAATAACTTAATACGAAGTAGTGCAACCTCAAATCCAATAGTATTTTCATTAAAAGCATCTTCTACGCCATCCTTTCCCTCCCCCTCCCGAGAACATAATAGTGGACCCTAATATCAATTAAATCCGAAAAGTTACAAAAGCAAATACAAAATGGAACTCAATAATTATAAAGTATTTTACTCAAATACCCGCACGGTCTGAGTACAGAATACTTTAACCACTACTCGGCCAGATGATTGATGAGTATAAAAATTACTCAGCGGTCCTGAGTACTTTCCATTTTCATATTTACTCAGAATTATTTTAAAGAGTACTTCATTTCTACAAATTACAGGAGTAGAATATTTTATATTTCTTCAATATTTATATCCATTTCTATGTTATAGGGATATAGTTTTTAAAAATACTATCAATACTAACGTAAATCAATAAATTATCAATATATTAAAATATATCAGATTTATTCCATATTAAGGTCCATTATTATGTTGTCGGGGGCACTTTTAATGAAAATACTGTCTGATTTAAAATTGCACAAAAGAGCATTATGTTTTCATAATCTTATCGAAATTAGTGGACCCTAATTTCGATAATATTACAAAAACATGATGCGCAATTTTAAATCCGAAAGTGTTTTCACTAAAACCGTCACCGACAACATAGTAGTAGATCCTAATATCGATTAAATCTAAAGTTACAAAAACTGATGCGTGGTTATGCATTAATAGTTGGAATTTGAATCTATTTAATTAATCAATATATTTTTAGCACATCACTAGAAGAGCAGATTGGCGATGATTCAGCAGGTGGCTCTGCTTTGAGTCGCCAGGGCTTACAGGTCAGTGTCTCATGATACAATACAGGTCCTAGCAGGAGTACCTCATGACCAACAGTTCCAGGAAGACATGTTCACCACTATCAGAGAATTTTCATGTGTGGATGAATCAAGAACCTCAAAGATGAAAGATCCCGTAAGAGTACATCCTTCACAAATGGAACTGATAATGGTTAATGAAACCAAAAGGGAAACCCTTAGGAAATATTTTCCCACCTACATTGGTACATCGGTACATATACATCGGTTTCCAATAGCAGTATGAGGGTTTCTGAGCAAAGCTCTTTCAACATGGAAAGAACATTGGACTACTATGCCCTTATAGAGAGCTGTTTTCGTATCCTGTACTGCCTTTGAGGTACTGAGGGCCTACTTGTGGAGGAAAACAGGTCAACATTTTACAGAGAGCGATTTCCCTCAGACAATGAATCATAAAAACTAACTGCACTTCCACTTCTTGTGTGAGTTGAAGACAAGTATAGGTCAATCCATTTGTTTTATTAGAAAAAGTGTGTTATTCAGTAGGCATGTGTAATATCCCACTGCTGCTAACACCCATAAGGCATGAAAGGGTTCGAAATAAAATAAACTGAATAAATAAAAAATATTTCCTTAATGAAACAAAACTATCATTTGGTTGGTTTTCTCCTATGAACAAAATTATGCTTTAAGAAAAAAATAAAAATTACTATACCCCTAGTCCAGTTGCTTCTAAAGCTGTAGCAATGCCTGTGCAGCCATATGCTAATTCTTCTGCAACAAGACAGCCATCGAATACCCCCATTGCCATGCCACCTTGAAACAAAAATGAAGTTTTTTATTAACACTGCTTAAAACATCATGAAATCAGATTAACAGTATTTAACCTGGTTACACTACTTTCTCTTAAAAAAAAAATTAAGAAAATCATGTTTAATATTTACAAAATTACTTTTGAACAGTAGTGAAGTAATTAACTTATGGTTTCTGATAACTAGAAACCGGATTTCTGTGTTATTGAACATTTTAATGGCTTGCATATAAAGACTTCAAACCCAAATATCTAACCGCCGTTTCATGATCTTTAGAATAACATATTTAAATCTTATATTGCACTTTTTGCTTAAATTGCATGATTTTGATTTTGTTACGTTAAATTCACATTTTTATACTTTTTGTGATAAATTAGATGATTTATAAATGAAAATGCGTATGGTAATATTCACCTTTTTATTTTACTACACTGTAAAAAATAAATTTATAATTCAAGATAGAAAAATAGATATATAACTCAGTGGAAAGCAAAAATCAAATTTAACGTTATAAAAGAAAAATGTAAAAACAAGTGGGAAATATTCTTGAAATAGGACATGCCTAAAGAATCGGAAAATAAAAAATTACCAAATGCAAATAATTGCAAAAAGGTAGAAATATTATATTAAATTTTTGGTAATTTCTTATATTAAAAGATTTAAAGAATAGTTTATTATAATGCCATTTTGAAATAGGAAAAATGTATATGGGGTTGAAGGAGATTGTATGATTATTCAAGATAAATGGTCATGTAGATAAACAAATTATTTCAAAATGTCAAACAGTTATATTTAAAAAAAAAAATAAAGCCAAGGGAAAAATCTTAAATACAAAAATCATATAAAATCTTAATAAAACAATCAATGAATTAATTAGATTATTTGTGGTTTTTTGTTGCCTCATTGGTGACACCTTTCACCTACACTCTGTTATAGAGTTTTATAATGAATTAAGATTAATAACAAACAATATTAAATTAATTAGAATATTAATAAATTATAGTGAAAACAATATATATATATAATATCTTTAATTTGTTGAGTGTTTTCAGGAAAACAACCTTGTAATCTAGTATTCTAAATGTTGGAGCAACCTAAAAATTATTATGAAGTTCTTGGCTTAATCTTGAGAAATTTTTCAGATGTAGAATACTTTTTTTTTAGTTATCTTCTTGTTTTTCTTCTTATAGGAAGCTTCGGTTTATATTTTTAAGGTTAAGTCAATTAAACTTCCATTTTTTCTTTAATCTTTAAAGTTGACAGGAGCAAAGTACAATAATGGAACTTGAAATAACTAAGTGTTGGTTGGTATAGTTATATATAGAAAATGAATGTGTAATACCAAAAAAAGTATTATATTTAAATATAGATATGACAGTTATTGTAATTTTTGACAATTGGTGCCACATCACAAAGTCAAATTAAACAATAAATAGAGTAAATTAGAAATGTTATAATAGTTCACTTTAAACATTAATGATTTCAGTAAATATACAGGAATCTCTGAAGATGGCAAAAATATCCCGAAACGCCAGATGTGATTTAAAAAGATTTAAAAAAAAATGGAAGTTTAATTGCCTTAACCTTAAAAATATTCTTTTAAAAATAAAATAAATAAATAAAGCAAAATAGGTGATAAGAAAAGGTTGCAGTGTTTCAAGATACTTGGGCTAATTATGGGATACAGAAGAGCAATAGAGATCTGAAAATGTGAGTTCTGAATTTATGTGGGTAAAAATATGTGTAAGTTGGCAGCAATTTATCTTTCTGGTGTACCTTCCCCCTAGCTTAATAAAATAGGATCTTAAATGTCTTTTATATATATATATATATATATATATATATATATATATATATATATATATATATATATATATATATATATATATATAAAAGACTAAATTTTTGCAAGTGAATGATTCTAAAAATAAATAATCAGAATAACAGAAAAACAAATTCACCATAAGCTTGGGGTATGTGGGTATTTATAACACCAACTTCATGTGCTTTCTTAACTAAATCCCATGGAAATGCTCCAGTTCGGTCATATTCAGCAGCCTTGGGTATTATTTCCTCACGAGCAAATTTTCTAGCAATGTCTTGATACTCTCTTTGAGTTTCATTTAATTCTAAAAAAAATAAAAAGATATATAATTTAATATTTAAATTAAAAACCATTATCAAAAGAAATAAGCTATTTCACAATAATTTACATATGTCATAGTTACCAAAGCTATATCCATTAGGATATTTTCCTTCAGAGGCAAATGTTCTAACAAATGTCTTGAAATTTGGCTTCAAATTAGAATTAATGACCTGAAATAATTTCCACAGATTATTGATAGATTTCACTGATGATATATTTTACTGATAAAGAAAGTTTGATCATAGATCACTATCTTGTTATAAGTTCTAACTTCAAATAGTTTAGATACTTGTTGGCTTAAATTATATTCACAATTCATACCCTTGTCAATCAGACTAATTTTTTATTGTGTACTTTTTTATTTGCTCATTCATTGCCTTAATAAGACAATTTCTAATCCACAGAATAGAATTGGAACATAAACATATTTTTTATACAGCCCATAATAATAATATTATTATTATTAAATTATTTATTTTACTCCTTACTCTTAATTGAGGTATATTAAAACTAACTCTAGGATTTTTTACTTCAACTTATTCTTTGATTAACACTAACAGTAAGCCATGGTTGCCTGAAGTATTTTTTGTATAAAGCATACAGAGAATTATAAATATAAAGAATGTCTGAGTTGTGGTAAGAAGGTCTTATGTAAAATCTCTATTTTTGTTTGTAAGTTTTCACTTCAGATACCTGATATACTTTCCTTGTCCATTTTCCATATTTTTTCTTTCTAAGAATACAACTTAATTATGTTTGCTAATGATTTAATTTATATTAAATTTCAAATTCAAATTTAGAGATTGTAATGAGATCAGAAGTTATGACATCTTCGATAATACATCAAACAAAACAATCCAGAATAAACAAGAAATTAAATTAAAAACTGAAAAGAAACCTAAAATATTAATTTATCATAAATTTGATGATTTTTTTTTCATAGAAGTTGTCATAATTTAAAAAAAAAAAAACACCCTTTGAATTATTTTCCAATTTAACAAAAACTTTATTTTGGTCATAGTTCTAAATATATTTATATTTTGTTATCCCATCAACTATATGGTTGTTCAGATTCATTTTATACTTTATATTTTAAAATAGTATATCTATTTTTTTCTTTATATCAGGCCCAGACTGGTTTTATAATAAATAAAACAAACATTGGAAGCGACACATGATTTGTTTTGTTTATTTGTAACCAAATGTAGTGCATAATCGTATGTTGTAGAATGTAATTTCAACTATTGACCTTTAAGATAGGTATTTAAGTAGTAGCAATGTAATCTAAATCAGTATTTGATAAAAAATGTAAACTGGTATTACTTGTCCTAGATTTCCTAATCTTACTCAATTGGAATTTAAAAATCCTAGTATTGCCATCGTTGTCTTCTAATTTCAAAAGACTGATTCTAAAATTAGATTTTTTTTTTATTTTAAAATAAAACATTTCTTTTCCTCCATAGTAAAATTAAACTTAATTATGTTTATGTAAGCTAAATGCACCTGCTTCTAAAACTCTAGAATAATAATAATTAATGTTGAAGAATTGATAAAAGCGAAAAGTCAATGAACCAAAATAATTAAATATGTGGGGTCGTTGGAATTTTAATTAAAATGATTAAGTTTATTTAATAAAGAATGAACAATAAATTACTATATTTTAATTTGAAAATTATTGTTATTATAAATTCATAATAATAAAAGGAAAATAACAATATTTAAATAAGTGATTAAAATAAAATAAATATCATCCGACTTACTTGTCTCAATGAACTCATGCTGGATTTGGTATGGGCTCGGCAAGAAATGAAAACAGCTGAATGATATACTACTGCTGTGTTCTTATCAATACTAAAAGATAATACTCAAAGGGGTCAATACTGAACCTTTGCCCAATAGCTCAAAGAAAGTCTGATAAAATGTTTTCTCTAGACGAGAAGGAGAAAAAAAAAAAAAAACTGCTCGACCTCCAAAGCCGGAATCCTTGACGCAATAGATAACAGCTGATAGAAAATATTTATTACTCTCCCCCCCCCCCCCCAACTGTACTCAATACTTCTAGAAACTTAATTCCTAAAATAAAATTTCTAAAGTATCGTCTGGAACCTTTCAGCATTTAAGAGAAATAAAGTGGTAAATAGAGAGAAAACATTTATTTTAAAATTAATATCTATTAAGTTTCATGCAGATAATTAAAAATACTAAGTCATTTTCGTTTACTGATCAACTTCAAATTATCAAAACAAAACATACTAACGCATCAAATTAATTTTTTTTTTTCTAGAAATAAATTTATATTTATTTGTAAATACAATAAAGAACGCAAATACACATATCCCACAGATTAAAATACTTGGGTTATTAGGATACTTTTTTTTTTGGACATTAGTGCATAATTAGTAGAAAGGAGAACGGAAAAAATCAACAAAGGCTAAGGTGCCAAATATTTGATTTTTTTTCCAAAAACAATTTTGATAACCAATATGTTTTTTTCTTGTTGGTGTTTTGAGGCAGGCTAAATTTTTTTTTGTTCTAATAGTGGATAATTGTTGACTGTTGGAAGATGTTGAGAAAAGTTGGTTGGAGAAACAGTTATTAGAAATACAAAGTAATTTTAAACATTTTTTTGTAGGTTGCAGAGTAAGATCTTATTCATATCTTTTAATTAGTCAATATTTCACGTTTGAATCCCCATTTTCTATTAATAAAAAGAACATTATCAGTTATTACATTAAATATATAACTCTGTTATTTAATAATTTAAAATTACTTTAATACCATCTAAAAACAATACAATTACATTGCAAGAATTAGTCTTTACCTCAAAACTTGTACTATGAACCTTGATAAATCATATGTTGTTGTTATTCTGAGGTGTAATTGTTTTATCTCGATATTTGCTTATATCACTGTTAGTCAGCTAAGATGAGTTGTGTAATAAATTCGAAATAATAATTTTGTTTTAGTTATTATTAAAATAGTGTGTTCCTAATGATTCAGTTTTATAATTTACTGTTTTATAGTTGTTATTGGTAATATATGTAGCTTCTAATAATTTTCTATTTCTATTTTTTCCAATGTTCTAGGTTTTTCTAAATTATATTTATATGTCAATTTAAAACTTATATGACAGTGGCGTTTTATTAATGTTTTTTTATATTTATATTTTTACTGCATGCCACTAGCGGATTCAGGATTTAATTTGGGGGGGGGCTTCAGCCCGGAAGCTTTTTTTTCATATATATAACGATAATTACTTTAGAAAAACATAAAGATACTAACTACCTATATGAAATGGTGTTTAAGTGATTCTTTAAGTCCTATTAAAAGTCATTAAACGAGCAATTATACTTTAAGACAAAAAAAAATTAAATCCTGGATCCGTTTGTGCTGTTATATAAATCTATTTTAACATCAGAATAATGATATTCATGGAAAATATTCTTTATGTTTTCAGTTCTAGTCTATTCTATTCAGTCTTATTCCGTGTATTACTACTGCAATGATTTTTTTCGGAATGTCATTCTCAGCCATTCGAGCGATGTGTCCAGCCCATCTCAATCTATCAAGCTTCATGAAATGAACCACATCTGGTTCTTAAAAGAAATCTTTGAGCTCCTGGTTTGTCCGACGTCTCCATAACTGGTCACAGCTCCAAAGATTTTACGCAAAACTTCCTCTCAAAAACCATTAGATTCTGCTCGTCAGTTTTGGAGATAGTCCATGTTTCTGAGGCACAAAGGTGTATCGGTCCAATAACAGTTTTATACAGGATTTTTGTTATTCTGGTTAAAGCATAGCTCCTAAAATATGGACTGAGACTATAATAACAACGATTGGCACATAGCACTCTTCGCTTAATTTCAGAATCCACAACATTATCATGTGCTATGAGGGATCCGAAATAAATAAATTCTGACACTTTTTCACTGAAGAATTCTCTGATGGTAATGCTTTCGCCCGGTCTGGGATTTTCCTCAATGACCATGTATTTGGATTTTGCAGCGTTAACTTTAATGCCCATTTTTTTTTGCTGTTTCTACTAGTTTCAATAATCCATCAGAGATTGCCTGGAAAGATCGACCAGCAATGTAGATATCATCCGCATAAGCAAGAAGTTGCAATGCACATCCTGGAGTTAATCCATAGCAAACGCCGTGCCAGACTGTTATGGCAACGCACCAGACATCCCACAGATCGACGTTCCTATAATTATTACTGTAAGTTAAGGAAGAATTATCCAACTTCAAATCCCAATCCTTATTATTTTATTTATTTGTTCCACCCTCCCATGCCACAATGGCAATACGGGTGTTTGCGATAGTTTGTTTTAGGCATGAATACTTAATAACACACTACTACTAGATGTGCACACAGTTCTTCTGTTCTATCTTCTTCCTTCTTCTTTCGGCCTAGCTTCCAGAATCTGATTGCGCTCCAAAATTCACAACTTTGGGGATTGTTAGTTTTTCTAACCAGGACTGCATCTGATCAAATTTGGGAAATGAATATTCTTTCGCCATCCCTCACTTGGTGAAAGTAATTAGAGATCCCTATACAAATACATTTGTCATAGATTTAAAGGAAGAATAGTATCGTTAGAATTACACGCAGAATTTTTCAGATTTCTTAAAATCAGCATACAAGGAAGAAAGATTCTGCCACCAAGCAAGAAATCGAAAAATCGTTCTAAAATAACAACAATTGTTGGTATTGGTGGTCGTGTTGGACGTTCCCGAGCGTTTTAGGGACTTTCTCTTGCCATTGTTTAATATTTTTGTGTCATCCAGTGGTGTGGCAAGAAATACTGTGGCACGGGGCGAAATCGTCGATGAGGGCCCTTTTCTTCATTGCCGAATGGGATCCACCTAACTTTTCAAGTAAATGAACAAATTAAACCATAAATTTGAAATATCAGTAAGAAGAAATTTCATCGGTCAAGAAATTGATTTATGAATGCATTTATGACGGCAGTGGGTCCATTTCAACACGGGCCAGGAAAGAAGGACCAACGCTAAGTCTCCCTTGACCAGAATTTCCACAATATTTTATTTAATTTCCCTTTTGATCAGTTAGATTTTTACCTCAGAACGTTCTGAAAAATTCCACCCAAATATATACAAAACAATACTTATTATTAGATGTAACTACTCGTTTATGCCTGTTGCTTGGTTTAGCTTTAGTTGATACAAATTTTTCCCTTCTCCCCAACCTTGGAATTTCTCTAAAAAGGGAACCTATTCGCCAAAGTGGAAACACTGCCCTTGGCTGAGGCCACCGAATATTTAACAAGAACTGGAAACTTGTGTAAATGTTTTATTAGCATTAGTGAGTTGTCATTCAGTCATGTGTAACATTCTACAACTGCAAACACGCGCATATCCTAATAGGCAAGAGAGGGTGGAAAATTAATAAATAAAATAAATGTAAAATATTTAAACCACATGGCATAGGAAGGTGGGAGGAGGTCGATCTAAAGGTACAAAAAAAATCTATTTTAATCAGAGTAGAAAGGTCATTCAGGAAATTCATTCCATGGATCCGCCACGAAATAAATTTCAAATCACCCAGACTGGATTCCAAACTGCATCGTTAGACTCGAGATTGAATCTTAGGAGGCGCGGCGGCCGAGTGCATCAACGATGTCCGGCAACTAGGTGATTGATAAAACTGGAGTTTATGAGATAAAAGATACCTACGACTTCGAGTTCCGGTACCTGAGGGCTTTTAACTCTGGCCTTATTCCCCGTCCTCTCTCCTGGACCGGGAACATCCCTGTATAGCCTAAAAGGCGAGGTAGGGGAGGACAGAAAAAATAGGAAATTCGAGAATGTTAAAGTTTATGGTTTAACACATTCGGCCTCAATTACTATACCGCTTAAATTGATAATTTTTTGGGTGAAAAGTGGAATTTAGCATAAACGATTCATGACTTAAGGCCTGCAGCTCAATGTTCCGTATGTCTCTACTTTCGAGATGTTTCTTCAAATAATAATCATCCATCCCAATTTCCGATATCTATTCCCCGATCTCTGAATTCTATACATTACTGTTTTCAATAAGAAATAAGAATTGAATAATGAAATTGTCATCCTTGATTTTTTTCCAAAGCTAGGAAAGTTCCTGAGATTTTTTTTATTCGTTCAAACTAGTTTTTAGATATATTTACTCACATACATAACAATAATATGAAGCTTGTGATGCACAGGGGTGCCCAGAAGGAGGTTCCATGGCGCAAGTTGTGCCATCAAAATTTTTGAGGGCAGCATATTTTGATATGTTTTTTGAATTTTTGAGGGGGGCAAATTTCGACTGCGCCATGAATTTTCGGACTAGAGGAAAAATGGAAAACATGGGTCAGACCGCAGAAAGTGTAATTGTTTATCATCTACTATTTGTCTAATTCTATCTTAGCTTGATTTGTTTTCAAGATAATGTGACTAATAAAATACCTTGGGAGGAGGGAGGTGGTAGGTTCTTGCGCCATTGACCTTGGGGGGATGGGCACCCCTGAGTGATAAAGATAATTGAAATAACGGGAGCTGCTCCCACATGATGGAGATTTCATGTGCAGGAAGATAAAAAACCAAAAACGCAAAAACGCTGCAAAGTTTCCTTACCATTTCGAGGGAAAGTGCAATACAAAAATAGTTTAATAGTCTTTTCGTAATGCGGGTTTTGAATACGAGCAAACTAGCAGCATGCGGGCAGAGATGGGCAAAATAGGAATCAATGATTACAACTGAGAAAAAAGCTCAATGACCACTCGTATTTTATACTGTATGCAATAGAACTATAAATATAGCAAAAATGAGACACGATAATCAATATGATTACAATCGTAATCGGAAAAGATTATAACCGTGCAATCAAGTAATCAAATCACTATAATCGTAATCACGTCATAAAAATGTCTGTAATCGTAATCTTTGATTATGATTATTTCCATCTATGCATGTGGGGTACTTTTTCCGTTCTGAAGTTGTTTTTCTAATACTTTGATTACGAAAATATATCAACCGGGGAAACGCTAATTTAAATACCTACTATATTAAAATGTAATTTATTTTAGAACACTAAATATTACATTAAATCTTTCAGCTGTTCTAATAATTAATTTTAATTACTTATTCAACCAATAAATATGAATTGAAAGCAGGAAGTTTCTATAGCATCCGGTAAACAAAGGGATTATTATTTAATGGTAATACACCTTATTTTCAACTGACCTTTTGAAATTTCATAATATGGGAGATAGAATTGGTACAGTTTCTCAAGGTGGCTTATTTCATGTTCATAAAGTTAAGTATAGTCCTGAAACAGAAGCTTTTCTAAGGGGTATGTATTATTTATTTATATTTTAAATTGAATTTGAATTTTGAGTTAGTAAATTCAGATCAGTTTATCAAAACATTTTTATTTTTACAGAATTGATTAGAGAAAGTAAATTGTCAATTTTTCAAAGAAAAGAAGTAGAAAAATCAATAAAAAATGGACAGCCACTCCCACTGCCTCCCAAAAAAACAGCTCTCAGTAATAAAAAAAAAGTGACACCATTAGGAGAATTAAAAGTAACATATATGATACCAAGAAGAAGAAAACTAAATACTATTAAAAAATCAGGAGCTTTTGAAAGAGACACATTCGTACCCACTTACGCAAAAGGTATAGTATTGGGAAATTCATTTCATTAGAAAAAAGGAGATAATTCAATGATAAACGTTTTAATAAACTGTAGTTATTTCTAATTGAACTGCTAGTATTTTCATAATTTATTCCTCTGTTACAGTCACCATTTTTTGCAGTAATTACAAATAATTATTGTATTTGTTCAAGGAATAGGTAGTTATAAAAAAAAAATTACTGATTAGTTAGTATTCCAAAAAAACTGGTTGTTTTTAAAATGGTTGGTTACCATAGAGAATAATATTGACCTTGGTAAAAGGAAATCAGTTTCTAACTGATAACTCAATAACTAGTTATTGTATGAAATTATGAACTAACTTCACAGGAAATTTGTTTTGCTTTTTCCATTAATAAAACTAGTTTTGGAATCAATATAATACTTTGGAATTTAAAGGAACCCTAATGATATAGACCTAATTGTTATTTATTAGACACCAATTAAAAAGTTCTGCAAATATTGAACTCTTGCTGATTCAAATAAATGGTTTAAGTAATTATTAGCAATTGGACTTATTAACACAAATTAGACATGCTCTCATGCCTTAAATTATACTGTAGGGATTCTGATTAATTTATAGCATAAAATTATACTATGTATTTGTTAATGATTATTAACAAACAAAAAAAAATATGTTTTAGCAAACCATGAAACAGAAAAGAAAAAACTGCAAGAGATTATGTCCTTTGGAAGAACTCTTAAATCAGGGAAACCTTATAAAAAAACAATTGATGATGACGATGAAACCAGTACTTATGAAGAATCTGATGAAACTATGAAAGAATCATTCCTTCGGGAAAGTATGTTAATTTTTTTCATTTCATTATAAATGATATAAAATATTGACATTCATTCAAACATGAATAAAAAACAAACAAATAATAATATAACTTTTGTAGCTTTCAAATCAATGACTCTTTCACATTAATATTATTTTATCTGATAATATTGATAAATTAATTTATAATATTGGAATTATAATTAATTAATTTATAATATTGGAACTTATTTATAAATATTATAAATACAATGGTTCTGATGAAACAAGGGTAAACTATGACATAAGAATTTTCAGGCTCTTCCCTAAAGTAATCTGGAGACTGTATCTTGGCCTTAATTTTTAATATTCTCTGCCAGTGGTTGATGTGTTCTTCAATGTTGAGCTACAGAATGTGTGTAGCAAGTGGCTAGGATAGAATCTTTAAATTCATGGAAATCTCCTACACAAATTGTTGAATGGGATGAAGAAGATTAAGGTTGACTGTATGGCTGCTGACATTTGTTAGTTTCTTTAAAGGAAACCATAATTAGAGAACTGCTTTACAATAAAGTGAAGATCAGTTCTCTGACTCTAATTCTTCAAGAATATTTGCGACAAGAAATAGAAAGGAATATAGTGATGATCTATGTAAACTATAATAAAAAGGGCCAATGTTCATCAGTTGAACTGATAATGAATAAAGGCAATCAGGGTAGGTTATACATTATTATTAATTGTAAAAAATAACTAATAATTGGAAGATATTTGTTCCTTTTTACAATTAATGTATAATCTGGACACTGACCCTTTTAATTTCCTGGTGCTAATATAACCACTAACAAATTTTGTACATTTTTAATTACACAACTGTCATTAAAACTTAACTTATTAGAATTATGAATTATTATTAATGAAACTTAGGAGCTTAATAGCTTATTTTCATCCTTATTGTTTTTTCCTTTCAGTGATGGAAGACATTGATGAAAGGAAAAAATTCCTTGAAAAGATGGAGAGTCTTGGCAAAGGAAAACATTATAAAGATATAATTGAACAAGAAATAGCTGGAAAATATAACCTTATTGAAAAGATGAATAAAATGTTTAAAGGACTCAGTACTAAAAATTATGAAGGTGATAAGAAGAATGATATTTAATTAAATAAAATGTTTTGGCGTTTACTATAAGAGTACCTACTATAAGTATAAGTATAATAAGTCTCCTTCTGAATTAATGTATTCTTTTCGATTAAAATTTTTGGTCTGATTTCACTAGAGATTCTTAATAGGTTAAAATTTTACAGCAGTTTCTAAAAAGGATATTAGTATGGTACAACTAATAGAAATTACACAGGCAGATTTTTATAATATAGATAATTGAAATTATAAATAAATAAATGTTAAGAATTTTAATTTTATTTATTTTTCCCTTTTGGCACAAAATATCAACAAATCAGAATGAAATGAAAATAAATCAAAATAATACACAAAACCGATCTTAAATTTTATAATAAACTAAAAGATATGAATGATTTTCTAAAGTATATATTTCAACATAAATGCATTACAAGTCTTTTGTATATCACATATTAAATACAACCGTAATCATCATACAAATTCATTAGAATGACTATTACTTTTAAGATTAACAGACATTTTTTCAAAAAAAAACTTATCACAAAATTATTAATTAAATTTCAAATTGTCATTTACAAAAAGATGTATACAATGGAATGTGTCACAAACACAAATTAGCTTATTAAATTAAATAATATCTGCATAATACTCATAATACATAAAATATTTAATAACAAATATTTTAAGTAGACAGTAAAATAAATTAGATTGATAAGTCTAAATTCCATCATTAAACAATGGAGAATCGATTATCAAGTCAAATCATATATCAATTATGTATATTAAAAGGAACTTTCAAATAAACTGTTTTTAATATAATTTTGTAAATGAAAAATAAATACACGTTTCTTTCAAAAAAATTAAGATGGTTATATTTAGATAACTGCTACAAATATTTTAAGAGACAGTTTTAAAATGCTATAGAAATGAGGTTAATGTTGACGACTTCATTAATGTGGTAGATGAAACTACATTAATGAAACTACGGATATTTCATTAATTTGAACTTAATAGTTACAAAATTTAAGTAACTACATTCATGGAAGAAAAATAAGTAAATGCAGAACATTTAATAAGAAATTAAATAGAATTAATCCAACTAACAATAACAAATAATAACAATACATAAGCAAATACTCAGAAAGTAATGTGGTAACATGAGTACTCGATAAAATATAAGAGCAATAATTTAAATTTTATTTTAGTCCAATATTTAAATTTTATTTTAGTCCAATATTTAAATTTTATTTTACTGGTGTATAAAATTTTAATTTTAACCACCACAATATGAAACATAAACATGAAGGTACATTTTACATAAGATTGATTTTAAGTAGAAACTTTTATTTTCATTTACACTTTTATTTTATCATCATTTTTGGAATGATATTGGACATTACCAGGTTGATACTGAGGTTGCTGAGGTACATTGTATTTTACCTGAGGGATCTGATTTCCTTGTGCCCCCCCTTGAGGAATAGCATTTTTGGGATCATTTTGTATTCCACTTGGTTGAACGGGCTGTGCCTTTTCATAAGCATTAGGAATTTGATTGCTTTCAGGAATCTTTCCCAGATTTGATGGCATATTATTAAAATTTTGTTGAACTGGCACAGCATTTGGCACTTGCTTTACAACTTGATCAGATGTTTTTAAAGATGGGTGCTGCTGAGGAATTGCATTAGGATCTACTTGATGAGATGGGACGTGATATTTACCTGCCTGTTGAGGAACTGCATTAGGATCTACTTGATGAGACGGAACGTGATACCCACCTGCCTGTTGAGGAACTTGGTAGGGTTGATGTTGCTGAGGAATGGCATTTGGATCAGCTAGATTAGGTGGTGCATGATATTGATTTGCCTGCTGAGGAGCCTGAGCTGGATGAGGTGGTCCTTGATTAATGGGCGCTGATCCTTGATTAGTATAAGCTGATCCTTGATTAGTATACGCTGGGGCATATTGTCCATGTCCAGGAGCATACTGAGGTGGGGCACCACCATGTGGTGGGTATGGCATATTCTGAGCATAGTGCTGCTGTTGCTGCATATGAACGTCAGGATGATTCTGTAAAATTACAGAACTTAATTAAGTAAATAAATCTTTTTAGTGATTTGGAGAATAGATAGATTAATGTCCACTATTCACAAGAAAAAATAACTGATATTATTAAGTAAACTAAAGATGTTAATGGTTGTACGATCTACATTACATATGAAGATGTAAAGGATTCAGTTCAGTACTTAAAGATACTTTGTATTAATTACCATCAACAAAAACTAAAAAAAAAAGTGTGTCAAATAGATAAGTGTAGCATTATCTATTTATTGTAACTATTATCAATAACTTTAGCATCCATCATTGCTATTTAAAATATACTATGTGGGGTACATTTTTATTTCTTTGGTTCAATACTTTGTAAGAAAGTACTAATAGTATAAGTAAGAATAGTTGTGCAGGGAGATGATTGGACTAAGATCACGCTCCAATCCCAGGATTTTTCTCTTAATTAATTATTTACCAAAAAGTATCCACTTTATACAGATTGGGTATGCTACAGGAGAATCTCCTTAGCTCAGGGTTGATCCATGGCATATGTAACAGAATAAATAATAACTGCCACAGCTGGACTCAAACCCAGGATTCAATTTTTATTCCATAAAAATATGTATTCACATAAACAAAATACTAACAAATTGCATTAAGTTTAAAAACTTAAGTAACTCACCATTCCATGACTTCACTACTATTATTATTATCAGTCATTATGTACCACAGCCATGTTTGTAATATAATTTAAATGGAAGCCATCGATGAGCAAATGTATTGCATGAAATTTCATGAAATTGATATGGGACCATCTAGGTAACAATTCTCAACATCCCTTCAAAATAGGATCAATGGTAGTTGGTGTTGTGTCCTTCATGTGGATTAGTCTACAGAAAGTTCATGATAGCTAAACATGTTAAAGTGTAAACTTTAACATTCTCAAGTCTAGTGACACCGGTTCAAATCTGGCAGGGAAGGGAGGGAGGGGTTTAAATCTATTTTTGGCGGGCCCACAGAACAAGACTCAATATTCTGACATAAAATAGGTTTCGTTGAATCTATGGAACTCATCTTTTTCACTACCTAAACTTCTAATAATACCATTGACCTTATGTCATTTGGGATTAATCATTATTATTGGCTTTTAGTGATTTTATAGGTTCTATTTCAAAATTAATTTTTAGTAACATTAATTTTGGGTTACAACTTTGACAGCAGTGGCCAGGCTGAAAAAATGTATAATCAAATTGTGATAATGTTCTAAAATAGCCACAGAAGTGAAAGAAAAATACCAATAATTGGATGAATGAGGAGATAATACTTTGATAGAAAAGAACGTATCTTCAATGGCTTTAAAAAAATAATAGAGTTAGTAGACCGGTGTAAAACTCTATAAACAGAGCCCTTAACTACGAGATACAAAATACAAATAAGAAATAATGTGTGCAAATAATAATGAGGGAAAACTAATTCTCAAAGGATAAATAACAACATCCAACCAAGAAATGGAGTGCCAAAAGAAATTAAATTAGGGTAACTATGCGCCAAATATAAAAAATGTAACAATAAAAAAAAAAGTGTACAATTATAGAGGTATATGTGTCACCAATCTTTGAATGAAACTCCTGGGCAGAATTGTCAAAAATAGGTGAGAATGGGTCAAAGAGGGAATATGATAGTACAGAAGAAAGTGGCTTTACAGAAAAATATGACTTTAAGAAAGATAGTGGCAGAAAGTAAAGTGGCTTTACTGTAGGAAGATGATCTATTGGCCCAAATTTCTATAATGAGACAGTTCTTCAAAAAACATTTAGATAAAATCTAAAGATGTGGAGTGTCTACTTGTTGATCTAGAAAAGGGATATGATTTAGTTCCAAGGAATAGATTGTGGTAAGTTTTCAAGGAAACTAATATATCTGAGTCCATAAATCCTATAAAAGAAATGTCTAATTTAATATAATGCTTGTTATATTAAATTAGAGTCAAGTTTCTTTTGAAACATTTCAGACCTCAAAAGGACTTATGTAGAGAAGCTGCCTTTTGCCAACCCTTTTCAAAATTAATGTAAGATGTCGTTCGCAGAAAGTGGAGAAGAAAAATGTGAATAAGGATCAGGTAAGATGTAGGCATCAAAAACCTAATGTTTGCTGATGATTAAGTAATAGAATTACTTATATACTAGGAGTCCAGGATAGAAAAGAAACCAACTACATGATCAGAAAATCATAAAAAACATGTGAAATATGGAAGCTGATTTTTTTTAAAATGCCATAAAATTTTCAATTTTTGATGGGTTCAAATGCCCCTAAAACCTCAAATCGAACTGTCAGCAGACGAGCATTTTCATTATAACTAAAAGCCTATTAGGTTGAAAATTTCCTTAAAATATACAGGTTTTACGGCCCTGGCTCCATGTGTATTTCTGGTTATTTCTACTATAAATAATAACTGACAGGTTGGCCGAAGCGGGCTAAGGCATGTGCACAGCACCATGTTGATCAGCAATCAGATGGAAGACAATTTGATAAAATAAATAGGAGTTTGCGTTCCAGAGCTGCGAAGAGTTTTAATCCCCCACTCTCACTCCCTGGCCCAGAAAAAACCTGTATAGCCTAAAAGGCGAGGAAGGGGAGAAAAAAAAAAAAAATATATATATATATACATACTTGCTGAAATTGGTGATCTTGATGAGCTAATGGAGGAGGTGGCATCATACCAGGTGCGTAAGGCTGTAGCTAGCAAGAAATAAAAAGTCGATCAAATAATCATTATGTTAATTCATGAAAAAATAAAAAATAGATAATAAAAATTAAACTTATCATTCCTTTGTTTCATATTTTACATACCTCCAATTTCCCTGAAGATTCTAATCTACTATAAATACTAAGTAAAAAACAAAACAAAATATAACAAAACAATAAATTTATTTCTTATTAATTACATCGTTTCTGAAAAATATTCATGAAATAATTATGAAGTACAAATGCAATGCCTCAAGCTGTTCATTATGTTACCTGAAATTCAATATTATTATTATTATAAGCACCTAGAAAGAAAGAATTTCTACTATAAGATTGAGTAACAATAATGACTTATCTCAATTTAACTTGAACAAACGGATTCCGTCATTCAAAAAAATAATTTAAATAAGTACCAACTGAATGGAGATTTACCTCTATAGCAAAAGAAGTACTTCTGTGAGTAAATGAAAAAATATTTAATTTTTAAAATAATATGATATGAATTTAGCAACAAGAACAATGCTAAGCAATGAACCGAATAAAGAGTTATAAACACTTTGTATGAGAACTAAGCAAATTGATATTTGTTAATAATATTTTATTTTAAGATAAACCTTGTATCATGTGCAATAATTCTCTTTCTTTTTTTTTTTTTAACCCTCTTATTTACTAAAAATAGAAGACATAAGCTCACTGGAAGGCTTTTCCAGAAGTACTTTTGTAACTTGTTTTAAAATTTTGTTTGTTCTGCCAGCAGGATTTGACTTTTTCATTTATTTGTCCTTCGTGGTGTTGTGGTGGGTGAATAGTCATTTGTTGAAAATATTATTTTATGTGTATTTAAAAAAATGTCAATTTGCGAATCAGATATTTTTAAAGCTTTCTTGTAAAACTTAAATTGATACATATTAATTCAACAAGAAATCATTAATAACAGATAATTTATTTTAAATTATAATTTAAGTCTGGTTTGTTTTAATTTCACCGAAAAAAAATATATATCTTGTTGAAACGTCACTACAAGATAAATAGTAAACGGCCTCTTTCGATGCCTTCCTTGTTCTGTTATTTATTTATCAATGTAACCAATTTTTAATAAAAGCTAAAATTTTTGTTTCTAATTTCTATCAGTAATAGTAGCTATAAGGAATCTGAATCTGTTTGTTGTAAACACGCTAAGAAATGTTGCAAAACCTGACTCAAGATCTTAAGTATGGTAAATTAAATCTTTTTTTTTTCTTTAAAAGATTAATAAGTATATTTTATTTAATTATAGATGGAAAGAAAATTAAACACATGATTAACATTTAAAGATGAAGAGGAAATAACGATTCCTTTCGACACCAACAAATTTTATTTGCTTTATAGTTTTATTATTGGGCCTATCTCAATATGCTCCTTAGCAGTTTTGAGTGACCACTAAAATGTTGACTGACTCTCTAAAATTACAAGTAAGAAATAAGGTTATTCATTTTTAACTTGGGCAGTACCGAATGTGAAAAATAATTAAAAAGCTTAACCACATTACAGTTCTACTGTCTTTGCATTTCCCTTGAACTACAATGTATTCAGGTGCAAATTTTCATCAGCCTAACAAAAAAGAAAATGGTATTAAAATCACGATTTTTAACCATTTGTTATGCTGGTCGGACATACCTTGCCCAGAGTAGGCTAGCCAGCGTGCCAGAGTCTTACTGGTCTCTCCAGTGACTGGTGCGCCAACTGGCAGCGTGTAAATGAGCCTTAATTTTTCAACTTTCAAGATGGAAGAATAGTAATTTAACGAGAATAACAATAAACTATCAGCTTGAAATAAATAAAATGACATAATTCACTTTAATTTTAGTTAAAAAGGAATAAGCTAAGTTAACTAAGCTATAATTGATACACTACTAAAACAAAATAAAAAACTAAAAATAATAATTGATTTACCAAGCCTTGATCTATCAATCGTTGGATTTCTTCTTGCCTCCTTCGTTCAAATTCTTCATACTCTTGTTGAGTAAACTGAGGCTGGGAGTCAATAGTTTCCCATCCCTCATCTCTGTTAAATTCTTTTTTTTTTGTTTGTTCCAAAAACTCTTGGTAGCTAAAAAGAAAAACTGCGCAATATACTTTAAGAAAAGACAAAAAGTTATTTATAGAATATATCCATTTTTACCAAATAAAGGAATTGATTATAAAAAGTTAATTAAGATATGAAAGAATCAATATTTTCAACTAACCTAATGAGCCTATCACCATTGCTATCAGATTCCTTGAAAACATGTTCCCGCATTCTTTCCATTTCTTCTTCTCTTTCTCTCATATCATCTTCAGGCACGCCAGCTTGATACAATTTATCTAGTTCTTTCAAAAATAAAGCCTTAACTTCATCCTCATCCCAGTATCCATCACCATTTATATCTGAAGAGAGAAAAAACAAAACAAAGATGACACACTAAAAATAAGTTAAATATCATATATTATACATCTCTATTTCTACTCTTATTTCTATAAATTTGTTTTCAACCAGTGAAACATATGTATTTTGAATTACAGCTCACAATGAGAGAACTTTAATCATTTCTGATAAACAAGATTACAGATACCTAAGAGAAACAAATGTTGATAATTTGACCTAACTGATATTAAAGACCATCCATTTTTACATCAATTTAACAAGTTTAATCAAAAGCATTATGTCATTTTCGAGAAAATTGTAAACATTTGTAACATTAATGGTATAAAATGCCACTTTCAATGAGACGGTTCAAGTGAAAAAAATGTCCATATCATCACAGATATAAGCCTATCTTAAATGTGTAATTTCAGTGTTTTACAGATTTTTTAAAATTTTAGCTATACTGTTCACATACACACACGTTTTTTGCGAAGGTTGGTTATTTAGATCACATTTCTACTTCAAACTTTGTTTCAAATTTTTTCATAATCATATTTTTTCTTACAATATCTTTCATAAATGGGTAAATTAAAGTAAAAATTCATGTTCACCCAGTTAAACTTAAGAAATCAGCTTAAATCATTTCAGATTATGAACAAGTTAGGAATTGCCCCAAGTGAAGAAAATGGGTGAATAATAATATCCTATGCATGAATATGGTATTTTAATGGAGGATGAAGCATGATAGATTACAAACACAGAAAGAGAAAAGAAGGGAGATTTATTAAGAATAATGACTATTTGAAAACAGAGTCAGGATAGAGAGGTACTAATTTACAAAAAACATTTAAATGGGGGAAGAGGAATTTGGAAAGAAATTACCAGCTTCAGAAAAAGTTAGAATTCAATGTTAGCACACACAATATATACTGATTATCAAGCTACTTACAACTTAGGCTTAGATAGATTGGAACATTACAAGATCTAAGAAAAAACAAAATCATTTACTGGATAAAGATGGAAATGAAAGGGATAATATTAAAGCGGTCGGTAACTCGTGTCTAGGAAAAAAGGAAAATAAGAATAACGTGGTTTGATGAAGATTGCTTAAACATGTGCGAAAAAAGAAAAGCCGCTAAATTAAAAGCTCTAAATAATCCTAGCGAAGACAATCTGGAATACTTCCGAACCTCAAAGAACGAAACGACAAAATTGCTCAAAAATAAAAAAAGGGAGTATCTTAAAAATAAAATAATTGAAATAGAAACTAATAGAATCGAAAATAACGTAAGAGACATGTACAAAGGTATAAACAGATCACATAAAAGTGCAGGGCCCGTAACGTCTGGAATTAGGGATGATAATAACAATATTCTGACCGATCCGGTTGACATATTGAATAATTTTAAGGACCACTTTGACGATATTTTAAATAGGGGAATTTATAATCTGCGTCCTCCTTCTGAGTACCAGAGTGCTGAACCGTTAATAGAAGGACCAAGTAAAGAGGAAGTTGAAGTAGCTATCGGAAAATTAAAATCATATAAAGCAGCGGGAACCGATAATATTCCTACTGAACTAATTAAGGCATGCGGGGAAGCTGGAGTTTCTAAAATACATCGGTTGGTTAAAAAGATATGGGTGAACGAGAAATTACCTGAAGAATGGAAAGAATCTATTCTTATTCCGATTCACAAAAAGGGTCCGAGGACGGATTGTAATAACTATCAAGGAATTCACTCCTTCCGGTATGTTATAAAATATTCATTTTAATCTTAACCAGTCGAATCACGGAGTATGCCGAGAAAATTATCGGAGAATATCAATGCGGATTTAGACGGAATCGTTTGACTATTGGTCAAATATTAGAGAAAAAATTGGAGTATAACGGTATTGTTCACCAGCTGTATATAGATTTTAAAAAGGCTTACGATTCTATTGACCGCCAGAAACTGTATAATATTCTAATCGAGCAGGGGATTCCAAAAAAACTAGTAAATCTAGTCAGGATGTGCTTGACGGAGACACTCAATAAAGTTAGAATCGGTAATAATTTGTCTGAAAAATTTGAGGTTCGTTCGGGTTTAAAACAGGGGGATTCCCTTTTGCCTGTCCTGTTCAATTTGGCATTAGAACATGCCATTAGGGAGGTAATGCGAACCGAGAAAGGGTTGGATCTGGGCGGGACAACATTCGTGCTGGGCTATGCTGATGATCTGGTACTGTTAAGCGAAGACGTTGAAACTATAAAACTAAATACGACAACGTTAATGAAAGCCGGTAAAGAACTAGGACTCGAAATAAACATGGATAAAACAAAATATATGGTTAGCTGCTACTGGTGATATCGATATAGAGGGCAATATGTTTGAACAGGTAGAGAAATTTAGGTAACTAGGTTCTACGATAACTAGAAAAAACGAAATTGAAGAAGAGATTAGGGTTAGACTGAAGGCAGGAAATGCTTGTTATTTTTCTGTGATAAAACTACTTAGTTCGCGCCTCTTGTCCCGGAATTCAAAAATTAGAATCTATAAAACAATTATCTTGCCTACAGTTCTTTATGGATGCGAAATTTGGCCGCTTACACTAAGTGATGAGCAGCGTATTAAGGTTTTTGAAAATAAAGTATTGCGTAGAATATTCGGACCGAAGAAGGATGAGTTAACCGGAGAGTTCAGACGGTTACACAATGCCGAATTGCGTGAACTGTATCCGGGTAATTTCATCGCGGCAAATCAAATGGGCTTGTAAGTTGTTGGACTTAGTAATGAGATAATTCCTAAAAGGTTAATATTTGCTGTGCCGAATGGTAAGCGTCCAAGGAGTAGATGGAAGAGAAGGTGGGAAGATTGCATTAAAGCCTATCTGAAGGGTCTGAGTTTGGATGGCAAACAGTGGAGGGAAGTGTGTAATAAGGGATTGGTGATGTCTGCATCAATCTGAGTTTTCAACGGAAATACATGTTTTGAGATCCCCTGAGTCCAAATAACCAAGTCCCGCAAAATGGTTTGTGTGTCTGTATGTATGTCTGTGTGTGTGTGTGTGCGTGTGTGTGTTAACAGTCTAGCTCAAAAAACGAAGTCGTATGGAAGTGAAATTGCATATTTAAGGTTTCTATATGCTAGGGATGTTACAGCAACTTTTTCGTCAAAATCGTTTAATCGGAGGTGGCACTTTATATAATACACTAAACATATTTTTACGATTATCTCGAAAACCGCTCTAACGATTTTGATTAAATTCATCATATCAGAGTAAAATTAAGCAGTTTTAAATAAAAATATGGTTATTATTCTGATTGATGTTCTCTAACAGGGCTTAAATGGCTAATTTTCAATATAAGGTTTCTTTAAAGTACCTTCATTTTTTTAATTTGAAACAATTGACCATTTCAAATTAATCTCTAATATGAAAAATAGTTAAATATAAAATATGAAAGAATTTGATATTTAACTAAAGGAGAAATAAGAGATCATAACGGAGAATAGTTGTAATGAACGAACCAAAGGGATACGAGTTCGCTCAAAGATTAGAACAGGCTTCCATACATTTCATGAGATTAATATAATACATACTCCGACAATATTATATAAATAGACATATGCGGTTTTCATACATGTTATTGTTGGTATTATTTAATATTTAACTGTATAGATTAGAGCGATATAAATACTAAAATTTGTATATATGAGGGTACCCACAATGAAATGTATATAAATATAGAGCCTATAATTTTTACTTTCACTTCGCTTTGTCTGAAAATACATATTTCTGCTAACAAGAGGGTGGTAAGTGAAAGCTGTGTGATGCTCACACCGCACCAGATTTTTATTATATCACTGGTTGATTCTGGGTTGTACGTTCCGTTAATTATGGATTGTATGACTATTAGTTATTAAACTATTATTTTTCATTGGAAAGTTTACTAAAATGGAATAAAGAGATTTGCATTGTCTGTTATATACAGGTCAAAAGTTGTCACATTAATTGGTTGTGGATACTGTTGGAATATAACAAAGGGAAAATTCATCAAATTATTTTCTAAAAGGTTACATGATGATTTTTCAAAATAAACGGATGATGAATACCTAATATTTAAATATAATATCAGGTCTAGAGTTATAAAACTACAGTAAATATATTTAAGGTTATAAACATATCAACGAAATATTTTTATATTTCACTTCTACCTTCACACAAGTACAATGAAATAGTATCTTAAACAGTGTCATTGCCTTCAATCCGTGGATTTTAAATACTTTTTCAAACTTAAAAAAAAAATGTTTAATTTCCTTGAAAACATGTGATTAACGTTAAATAATATTTGTTTTCAAAATTATTATTTATAATTTTTTCACCATTCTCTGTTCCTTCTACAACTGAATAAGCATTTTTATTTTTTCTTCTTTATTCAATTATCAAATTCTTTCTAAAGTTATATTTAGTATTTTTTCATAACTTTTAATAATGTGAGATGATTAATTATTTAAAAGAAACCATATTAAATGTACTTTAGAGGAAGCCGTATATGAACATTGGGCATATAAGCCCTGTAAAGTAACATCAATAGGGATAAGATCTGATTGATATTAAAGACCACTTAATTATACAATAATACATCGAGTTTAATCAAAATTGTTCGAGCTTATTTTGAGAAAAATGTGTTTCAGCGTTGATATAAAGTGGCACTTCCGGTTAGCCAATTTTAAGGAAAAAGTTGCTGTCATATCTAAGGCATATACCTATCTTAAATACGTAATATCAGTTTTGTACTACTTTTCGTTTTTGAGCTAGACTGCAACCATACACACACACAAACACAGACCATTTTGCGGGACTTGGTTATTTAGACTAGACATATGTATTTCTGTTGAAAACTGAGTCGAAAATTTTCATGATTGCAATACTTTCTCTTATTATATATTACATATATATGTAAGAGAAAGTAAAAATCTGGCTCACCAAATTAAATCCCAAATCTGCTACTGATTTGTATTCTTATGTCAGTGGTTGTCAGTTTTCTGTATATATTCAATTTATTATTCTCAATACAAATGGTCAAGTTCTTCAGAATGTTCTTAGTTTATACCTATATAACAAATTTGTTCAGTTCGTCTATTCCCGCCCAAACATAAAACATCGATATGAGCAATGCTTTTTTGTTTTTAATTGACCTGCACATGTAACATCGAGCCTCAATTCAAGAAATCTAAATAAGTACCAAAAAAACAGGAGATATCGTTGATTTATTGAAAAAAGCCATTAAGAGACATTTCATAACCTTAAATAATTAAGAACTTTGAAGAATTTTCCCTTTTGTGAAATCAAAAAATTGTGCATTTTTTGTAACTATACTTGGAAATATAAAAGTTTTATATTATTTTCATTCATTTACAGTATATTGGTATCAATAAATAAAGTCGAAATTCAGAAAATCATATTTGAAAGTTAACCTATATGAGATATGCACTTAGTGACTTTTTGCAATAAACTTCTGAAATACATTACATTTTGAAAATAATGAATTAAATTACCATGAAGTAAGAAAAATGTTCTAGGATTAAACTTTTGAGTTTCCATGTGATCTTCTTTCTCCCAGACTTCTTCTAATTGTGCTTTACTTCCTGGATGATGAAGCTGTTAGCATAAAAATTATAGTGATAAATAATAAATCACAAGTTACTAAATATCATAAAAAATAAACAATAAAAAAAATAAATAACCAATTTATACCGGCTCGTGTTGTGAATGTTTCTTTTTTTGCTCTTCTAATTCCTGCAAAAATTTTTTTTTATGTTCCTCGTCCATCACTTTCAACTTCTGTTCAGTTTCAAATTTTTTTTGTAATTCATACTCTTTGAACTCTTCTCGTCTTTTTCTATCTGCTTCAGCCAAATCTTTTCTTACCTAGAAAAAAGGTCATATCTTTAATGCCAATATGTTATAAACAATAAAAAAAAAATTGAGAACTTTTGAATTAAAACCTAAAATTTGGTTGAAAATATTCATTAAAGTTAAAATAGTTTAAATTTTCTAATTTAGATTGAGGAAAACAAAATATAAACTTTACAAATTGACTAAGTTGACTGACTGTAGACTACTACTTGTCTTTTAAAAACTAATGATCTAAATTTTGAAAAATTAAAAGTTATAGCCAGTGAAACATCAATAGTTAGAAAAATATGATGCAATATTTCAAAAATGATAAAAAAAGTCAATTAAAAACTAAGATTAAAAGCAGTTATAAAACCATAAAAGCTAAGGCTAAAGCAGGATTTTAAAAAAGTTTTAAGCAAAAGAATATGATAAGGGCAATATTGATTGTTTAAAAAAAATATTCTTATCAGGAGGAGGTAACAAATGTTGAAAGAGAAAGTTTACTTCATAGTGAAATTGTTGGGCATCCACATAAAAGCAAAAACAGCAAGAATTTCCATTTCTTATTCATTTCCAAATTCGCCTCCATTTAAACTCATTGCAACCTTTATGATTTTCAGCTGAATAAGAACTCGGTAAGCCTCTATGCTAAAAAACAACTGATAAAGAACATATAAGAAAACCTTCAGCAGGCCTATTTAAGGAAAACAACACTCAAACCTTTAAAAATACATGAAGTAGAATTTAAGATTGATAAATATCAGGGCCGTTTTTGAGAAAATTGTAAAAATATAAAAGTCAATGATACAAATGCCACTTACAGTCAGTCGATTTTAAACCTGTATGCCACAAATGGCTAGATGGAGTAAAAAAAAAAAAAAAAAAGAAAAGAAAAAAGGTTAGTCGATTTAGCAAAAACGTTGCTGTAATACCCGACAAATCCTCTATGACTAAGCACTCTCAACGGACTAAACTAAAATGGAAACAATGTGAGGTTTCATTAGCCACATGGAACGTAAATACAATATTAAGACCGGGAAAAATGAAAGAAATTGCCGACCATCTCATAAGGTATAATATAAATATTACGGCACTGCAGGAAATAAGATGGAGTGGAAGTGGAAGAATTGATAAAAATGAGTTCTCCATATTATACAGAGGTCCGGATAAGAAAACTGGTCAAGCAGGAAAAGGATTCTTTGTGAATAGTAAGTTGAGACATTCTATTCTTAATTTTGACACAATATCTGACCGGTTATGTAAACTAAGGGTCAAATGTAGGTATAGGAATATATCTTTGTTTTCCGCATATGCCCCAACAGAAGATGCTGACGATGATATCAAAGAAAACTTTTATGATATCCTTGGAAGCAACATTGAAAAAGTGGCCAAATATGATGCAATTGTACTATTAGGAAACTTCAATGCAATAAAAGAAGCCGCTGGAGGACACACACAAGGCAAATGAAAAATAACCATATAATGAAATAAATTAATATAAAAGCGAAGAACATTATAGTAATACAAGATTATATCCATAAAGATTGGATAGTGAACAGTACGACAAAATACATGAAAATATTGTGATAAGTCAAACAAACATGTTAGTTATGAAAAATTGTAACTGAAATAATGAATAATGAAATTAAATGTAGGACGGTCTTGATAATCCAAACACTTAGATTGCATGGTCTGTTCGGAATAACAAAAATTAAATTTAAAATGAGGGAAATAACTGCACAATGTAACGAAAATTTTTGAAAATGATCATACAATGTTTTTATAATCATATATCAGTATATTTTTTATAAATATAGATCAGTCTTTATAATCATTAATGTTTTTCATATAACTATACAATTATTTTGTACAGTAAAATGCCTGATCTTGCAAATTCTTTTTCAGTACCAGGCGTTCCTAGTCGATGCTGTATTCATTCGCCCACTCCAAGAAAGTATTAAATGCCTTTATGGCGATTCTATGAATTATCTATAATGAAAAATGAAATTGGTGAAAACAAAATTTCCAGTGAAATAAAATTTAATAGAAAAAACATATTCCATGCCTGCTTTTGCTATTGCATTGTCATCCTTCTTAAAAAAAATTATTAAAGAAAAACTTTGTCTTTTCAGCTAATATATTCCCAGGAATTGGACACACTCATGATTTCTGCATCAAAAACCACATATAAAAAGATTCCACAACTTCTGGATAACAGTATTTTTTTTTTTTTTTTTTTTTGTCTTAACCCTGATTTTCTGTTTTCTCATTAGAGAAATCACAATATGATTTGGACACTACCACTCAAAGCAATTCCAATAATATGTACAGAGAAACAGAACTATTTTCAAAGCAATTTCAGTAATATGTACAGAGAAACAGAGCCATTTTCATTACATCTCTTGACAGTCAACTTTAACTTTTTTATTCTTTTTTTCTCCTTTTTTGTTGGGAAGCTGTTTAATTTTCTTAATTGTTGGCAATAAAAACTTCCATGTATGGTTTATTTGCTATAATCATTCCAAGTTGACTTTTTGGGAAACTAATTATTCCCATATTTTTCATAGCGATTAATAGTTTCTAACATATGTGCATGTAACAAGGTTTCATGCATCCATTTTAACTTTCAAGGGTTTAAAACATTTGTAAAACAAAAAAAAAAAAAAGCCATTTTCAAAGCAATTCCAGTAATATTTACATAGAAACAGAGCCATTTTCAAAACAAATCCATTACTATATACAGAGAGACAGAGCCATTTCCATTAAGTCTATCAACAGTCAACTTTAACTTTTTTGTTCAGATTACCAGGGGTTAGGATTATCGATACCTCCTGTATATGAGATCTAAGAAATATTTAATATAAATCATTAAATAAAGATACCATATAAGTAAAAAGAATAATTAGTAAAATAGAAACTAATTAGATGTAATAATAACTATTATTTAATAACAAACACACAAAAAAATAAGGATAGGAAAGACTTGAAGGGGATATGATGGCAGATAAACAGATAAGAATAATCTACAGAATCCTTAAGTGATAGAATATATATTATGCTGTGATAGTATATATATATATATGCTGGGTATATTTTAATTAATCTCGCTAATTTCTTATTACTTGACCCTAATAAAGGCTTGAAATATAAGGCCGAAACATTGGCATACAATAAAATAAGGTTTTATTAGTGTGTTATTTTATCTATGACCATCCCTCCCCACCTCCCCCCAACTAACTTCTCCCACAATCGTAAGATTATATCTATCTTATTCCAAGTAAATATTGTAGCTAGTCCAGAAAAAAACTGGAATATTAAAATAAAACTCATTCATCTGTTCAAAAATATTGTAAGAATGTTTTAACCTAAAAGAAAAGCTGAATTTTCAACATTCTTGCATATTATGATTTAAAAAAAAATAGATATCAGAAGATTAAATCAATTCCATTAATATTTATTTCAGTGGAACAATTTTAGGCTTTGTGAAAGACTTTAAATTAAACAGACAATTGAATTTATTTAAAATCAAAAATAAAATAAATTCCGGTTATAGATGGATAAATAAATTAAGATATTCCATCAATTTGTACCTGTGTTATAAGCTTGTGCAAATCAGCTGATTCAAAAGTGTGTGGATTTTGGTGATCAACATGCCCAGGATCAATATGGTTTGGATCAATTTCATTATGATCTAGTTCTTCAGCTTGCTTTACAAGGTCACGTAAACGTTGCAATTCAGTACGTTTTAACTCATCCAATTTAGTGCGAACATGGTGATTTACATATTCCAATTCTGCAGCTATTTTGCCATTCTGGAAAAATAAAAATAAATTGAGTTTTAATAAATGCATAAATTCAATACTAAATAAAACAAAATTAATTATAATTTAAATTGGATGATCAATTAATAACTTCAATAATAATAAAAATTTTAAAAAACCTGTACCACTAACAACCCATGAAGGGTCTTTGGTTCAGTACATAGTGAGGAGGTACTGTTACAAAGCCAATGGATGTACAGGGAGGTGATGGGCTAATATAACGCCCAACCGCCAGGTTTTTCTCTTTAATTAATTATTTAATTATGAGTAACCACTTTTTATAGAGGCTGGGTTTTCCCTAGGAGGGTCTCCCGGCCACAGGGGCAACCCACAGCTGATGAAAAATTACTAGTCATCAGCCAGATTTGAACCTGGAACCTTAAGATCTGGAAGTCAGTCTTCACCCACCACTGTTCCACAATTAATAATTTACATTTCAAAGCATGAAGTCGTTATTATAAAGATTCTGTTTCGTAATAGAAAATAAAGTAAAAAATTACTAATGATTTTTCATTGAATTTGCCATTTATAATTGTTTTTTTATTTTAGCTTTATAAAATACATTCCAAAATTAGCAAAAGTTCTGATAGTTATTATATTTATTTTTTTCTAATAACAGACATCATGGCTTAGCATTGTTTTCACAAATATATACACATTTTAACAAAAAATTCTCATCCCAGGTTTAGGTATGTACTTCCAACAACAACATAAATACAATACAGTACTCTTCAATAAGTTTTATCTTTGCATAAACAATTTCAAGTAGGAATCATCTTCGTTCATAAGCAGAAACATGATAACAGAAAGTACGTAATTTATATTAATATATGATAGATTCTCAAAAAATGAATGTTCAATTGCGTATTTTGATCGAAGAAATAGTATTTTTACTAGTGTTTACAAAGTTCTGTAAGACCATCATGTTAAAAAGATCATTCTAACACTTCACATTAATTAAATCCTAATAAAGCATCACAAATAACCGATAAAAAATAACTTTTTCTTAAAAAGGATGAAGTAGTTAGAAAAAATAAGAATAGAATATTAACTTAATTCATCACAGCGGGTTTGATTCAAGATACGACAATTACCTTATCCAAATAACAGATGAACTATTCATCATATCTAGTATATACTAAAATAAGGGACAAAAGACATACTCTGAAGTCTGCTTCTTCAGCTGTTTCCAATTTCTTTCGAAATTCAGGGTCTGATTCAAGAGCATCCACAACCTCCTTCAAGTATCTGTTGTACTCTATTCCCAATTCATCCTAGATATACAAATTTTACATTAATAAATAATTTATTTAATACTGATAACGTTTAAAGATGGCAAGTCAATGTACAATACTCACTAAGCTAACTGGTTTTTCTTCACCTACAGTTTCATTTTCCACAGGTTGCTTAGATTTAGCAGGTGGTGCCACACAATTATGTACTATAATAAATAATATGAGAAAATGGCAACTTCTTAGCTGAAGGAGACCCATCAGGAGAGATGGGAATCACTGAAACAATTAACTCAATAAACTGATGTGGGTTGTCAATATTACTAGAAGGTTAAGAATGAAAACTCCACGAAAGATTCCTCTAATCTGAAATAATTATTGTAAAAAAATCTAATAAGATAAAGATTTGTAATCTGTTCCAGATTGTTTTAATGATTACGGAACAAGTACTTTAGAAGGACACGTCATTCAAGTTTCACTCTAATGTATATTCCCATCATAACAATTTTGCCAGATACAAAGGGGTGATAATTAATTGACAGTGAATTTGTAATTAACAGTTCCATATTGATAATAATTAATATTATTGATGGTTTTTATTTAAATATATCAGTTTGTGTAACATAAGGAAAGGTGATTACAAACCAAATCAATTGAACTTTCATAATTAATCGATGTCAAGTATTTCTGACATAAAAATAAAGTTAATCTTTTTTTTTTAAAGGCATATTTTCTAAAGCCAATACTCGTAGTCCATGTTTATTAGCAGTTAAAGTGTTTATAGAATTGCAAAGGAATCCATTTTCTAAAAAAAATAACTGACATACGTCAATTATACATCTCTTTCCTTTTATACATTAATTTCCTTTTTTCATAATCCTGTCATGAAAGAGGAGGTAAATTTTAACAAAACATATATTCCTTATCAATCCTTTAGACGTTAATGTTAATCTTTTTTTAATCTAACTTCAGAATTCTTTAATTATTTAATACCAAAAATAACTACTATATTAAGATATTAACGGTTTTTATTTATTAGAATTCAATAAAATGAAATTAGATAATATTTTAAAAGCATTAGTACTCCTATCAATAGTAACGTATCACTAAATTCCCCATTTCTGAGAATCACGTAAGTCTGTAAAAATTCAAAATATTTCTTGTATTTTCTAATTTACACGTTTATTGTACATTTTAATTGTTATTTGAATTAACCATTTTGGAATCAGTGTAATTATTTCCAACTAAAATTATTACTTTAAACCCAAAAAATGTTTCAAATCATACCAGTTATTTTGATCAAACCGCTCCTTTATAATCAAACCGATTACCTTTTGATTATTTTATTTTATCTCAGGCCAAGAAGGTATTTAAAGTTACTAAAAGAACACCTCGTATTTTACAGCGCCCCAGAAATCTTGAACCTAGTTAATTAAACCCGCAATTGTTGGGGAGAACAATCCAATTATTGGAAAATTTTGTCCCTTTTTTTCAAAACCCAGGCGGGTTCCGGAAAAATTCTAACAAGCATCCGAGGGTCAAGATTAATTTGAAATAATAACAATAAGTAGAGATAAATATCAGTCTTGCTTACACCAGTATAGCAGTGCATGAAAAAAAAATGGAGGTAGCCTTTAGTCTTTAAAAAACGGATCAAGATGAGGCGACAATTTGATGTCCTGATTACTTTAAACGATGGTAGGTAGTTTTGCAATTTTATCGAATTAACAAAATCTAATTTTGAAGAGATTCTCTGCTTGGTAGCAAATAAAATCTCCAAAGCAAATATCACATTATTCCAAAAATTTCGGATAACATGTTGCCAGTATGTGTCCTATCAACGAGCAGCATGTTGTAGGAATACAAGGACACATCGGGTTGCAAGACATTAATGAATTTTGTTGATTGTATTCCTGTCGCTCATTTCAATTGGAAAACATCTTATAGTGTGTCTCGTGTTTATCCAACAAGTGTACTACAAACTAGTATAATTTAATCAATTAAGTAATCATTATTACTGCTTGTACATGTTTTATAATACCATTTAGTCGTCTGATGATTGTCCTGTATGCAATGATAAACAGCTTAGGGAACCCGGAGGTTCGATACCGATACCACCAATCACTGCCTGCATACTTTCTGACACCGAACACCGTTCAAACCCAACCCCGCCAGATAAGTCTTGGTTATAATGCAATCTTCGTTTTGGTCTACCTCTCGGACTCTTACCAGTCGTCACAGCGCATATTAATCTTTTAGGGATTATTTCGTTACTAAGCGCAAAAATATTAAATGCCCATTTTATTCTCACACTGTAATTACCTATTATCAGATTTTATTATCGGATTACTGATCACGAAATTCGACGAAGTGTAACAGTAATTTTTCCTTCTCTCCTCCCTGGCTTTTTCGGCTCTACGGGATTTTCCCGGGCCAAAGGAGGAGGTTGGGGAGTAATGCCAGAATTAAAGTTCCTCGGCTCCGGGACTCGAACTTTGTTATTCAATACTGCTTCTTTTTTTTCTTAAAAAACAGATGAATCTTCAGTTCATCAGTTTTCTTTGCACAACGCATGTTTTGAGCAAGTAAAAGGTTTTAATAAATTCTTCCAGTTATTGTTTTTTTTTTTGTTAAATAATGAATATCCAATTTATCAGAATATCCACCGTACTGGGGAATTTAGACGGTTACAGAACGCCGAATTTTAGCTGGTTAATATAATTGAGGTGATTACGTTGAGGCGGATAAAATGGGCACATAAAAAAGTCTGAAGGATAGACTGAAGCAAAGGTTGGAGGATTGCATTGAGGCTGATCTTGCGGGGTTTCTTATATTAACTAAATTGTGATAGGGAGCATATTAAAACAATTAACAATGATTTAATGGAAACTTACTTATCAGATAATTTAAATTTTGACGGTTTCTTGAGATTACAACCGAAATGTTTAGCGTTTATAAAGTAAAATCATTGAGTGAGTGCTTTATTAACCATTTAACATAAATTTAACTTAAAATGAGATACATATTTCAGAAATAAACTTTTTTTAACCAATTGTATTTATATGCATTAAAGAAACTATAAAAGGTAGTTCATAATTCGGAAACACAATTATCTTAAGTAACAGCGACATTATTACTAAATCAAATAAACTTTATTTAATAAATTTCTTTATTCCTCTTGATATCAACAGCAGTCAGAAAATATCAAAAACAAGAAACAAAAATACTAGTGTTGTAAAATAACCTTTTATAAATTTGTTTGTCCCATAGTTTGTAAAATATCTAAATGCACCTTTAGTTAAGTTAGACCAGGAGTCTCCAAACTACTGCCCGTTGGGCGGATTTCTTGCCCGCAAGCGCTTTCAATCTAGCTCATGAAGCGCTTCCTTTGATTAAATTTAGCAAATTGCTCAATAAGATAAAAAAAAAAAATATATAAAAAAAAATATATAAAAAAAAATCAAACAATCTCTCAAAAGGCTCTTTTCACAGCTGAAATGTCATTTATAGAACATGATCTTATTTTTTCATCACAAGCCATTGCCCGCGGGAGTTAGTTGGGGGTCTCAATGTGACCCGCGGACCAAAACGTTTGGAGACTCCTGAATTAAAAATGTGTGTTTAGTCGACTGTTCTACATACCATGGGTGATAAGTATTCAGGACGCAGTCATTATATTTTTATTTTTATTTGTGCCGACGTTTCAACCCAAACATGGGGTCATCATCTGGGCTGAAAATTTTAAAATACAATCAGAGATATTATATTGTATGACCCATAATGGTAAATAATAAACTATAGTGATTGATGGTACATGAATCTTAACTATTATTACAATACACAATATTAACAATGAAATACGTAAAAAGTTATACAAACTAAAAATAAGGTATATAATCCATTTATAAAAATTTGTAATATTTTCTCTTACTAGCCATGGTTCGAGCACTGAATGAAGGCTTTCAAGTACTGACACATTAAGATTCATGTACCTTCAAGCAGTATAGTTTATTATTTACCATTATCGGTAGTATAATATTATATCTCTGATTGTAGTTTAAAATGTTCAGCCCTGATGATGAACCACATGTGTGGGTTGAAACATCGGCACAAATAAAAAAAATATATAATGACAGCGTCCTGAATATTTATCACCCGTGATAATTCATGTTGTTAGTTTTTTCACGGAATTTAGTCTTAAAAAATATGGTTTCGTCTCACGGGAGACTGGTCTTTGGAAGCCACACACCGAGGTCAATAAAGCTATCTTTCTATATAGACGTTGCTGTACAGCGTTCCTTCATAAAAGGAACCGTTTCTTTTGATTCGCTTCTTCGTGAACGACAGATAGCTAGTGTTATTTCTAAGCAAGTTAGGTTTATTTGTTATTGTGTTGATATTTTATTTTTTCTCGCGGCATTCTGCAATAATTTCGAGACAATGGAAATGACGCTTGAAACTATAGAAACAAATGCCCAAAAACTTTTTGAAAGTTTTCAAAATTCATTGAGACTTAAAATTGCTGAAAACCCGAGTTATGCTGAAGAAGTTGCTGATGCAGTAGTTGCTAGATTATTTGAAGAAATTTTGAGAGAGACCACTGCTGATGTACACAGAGCAATCAAGTTAGGGTATAGTAATTTGCTTTTTGCAAAAACATATGATCATTCTTTAGATGAAGTTGATTTACCATTTTACCCTGAAAATGTTGATAGCAAAACTGAAGATATTAATTGTCCCAAGTGTCATAAGTTAATTCATGCCTCTCGCTTTGCTCCACATTTAGAAAGGTGTATGCAGCAGGGAAGAAGTAGTTCTCGAATTGCAAGCCAAAGAATCGCTAATAATTCAAAAGAATGTTCTTATGGCATGGGTTCTGATGAAGATGATGATTGGAAAGCTGAAAAGAGCAGAAGTGCGAAAAAAATTGATGGGAAGAAAAAGAAAGATTCTGCTCGAAAACAGAAGCCATGCAAGTCGGATCTTTCAAAAAATCAGAAAGATGCAGGAAATAATATCTCAGCCAATATTAAAGATATCTTTCAATCTCCAAGTAAATCAGGAAGAGAAAATTATGGCAAAAGTTCTAAAGATCAGGATCCTGAAGTATGGATAAGTCCAAACAAGGTAGCATCAGGAATTGATAAGTCACTTATTTTATCTACAAGATGTGGAGTAAAATCTGATCATACAGGAAAGTACTGTGGCAGGTCTTTAAGATGCCCCCTTCATTCTGATGCTGATCGAGCTGTAGCAAGAAAATTGTTGTCTGGTGAAAGTATGGATATTGATGTTGAAGATGTTGAGTATGCCAAACACGTATTTAATACTTTTTCACAACTAAACTTAACACCATCAACTACAACTTCTAAAAAAAAGGAAAAACAAAAACATGGCACACAAAAATACTGATATAAGTAACACTAAACAAAAATTCTTTGTTGGAATGAAACTGTTATTTATAATGGTTTCGAAGCAAAAGGTATTTTTGTTTAGTGTTCAGAAATAATTTTTTCTATAGTTGGTGTTAATGACAACAAATATTTTTTTATCATATTTTATAAGCTATCATTTATGTGGTTCTTTCTCTTCTTCAATCTCTCTAGGCTCTGATTTTATTTGCATTTCTTTATAACTTAGTATTTGTCACAGTTAGTTTTTTTTTTTCTTGATTAGCATGGATATTAAACAAAAATGAAAAACAAGATTGTATTTAATGTTCTCAACTCAGAAAACTTATTAACAATGTTTATTTTATTTATGTAATTACTTTTCATAATTGTAAAATACATATGTTTGCTGCATTTATTTTCAAAAAAAACTGTTTATTAATATTCATTTGGTAACTATGTTGAATGGGATATTTTTTTTTTTTTTTTTTTAAACTTTTATTATGATATTTACAACTGTATTAGTATGAATACATCAAGTAAATGTGTACAGAGGAATGGGATATTTAGAGCCAGTTTCAAGGCAAGAAGTTAAGATTAGTTCAAGAAATAAGCATACTTGTAACTTTTGTTCATCAATTTTAGAACTAACCTGTGTTTCGTGGAGGGGTCAAATCAAGCCTAAAATAAGTAATCTGAAGTATAATATAAATGGCATTATTTTTGGAATTGTTCATGATAATTCAAGACTTCGATAACGACTAACTCATTGTCTTTATTTGTTATTTTTATAATTATATTCTTATAAATACAATTATAAATAGATTTCTTTCTTTCATGCCAATATTTAAGCATAAGTTGGTATGTTTTTAAAGTACTGAAAAATTAAAAAAAAATGGTTTTACCTATTGCTAAGAAATTGGTCAATGTATGTTTACTTAAGAAATTATATTATTTTCTTAGAGAAAAACAGAATAGTAGAGCTATAAAAACTGACATTAATGCCAGAATTACTGAAGGAAATGAGGCTTTTGGTTATGTCAGCTAATATTATGAGGGTATTTATAAGTTTTGTTGGAATACAATTTCAGAATATTAGAGTGATGTCAGATTGGGGTAAGGAACAACCAAAATATACAGAAATATTGCCTCTGCTGATATAACTAGCCCATTTGGAAAAGATAAATCCAAGGAGGGAACTCTTAAGAAGATGGATTAAATTAACAGACCATTAAAGTAAAGCTATTGGAATCATTTTTTAGAGAATTTTATTGTAGTTAATAAAATGAAATATTTGTTTTGTGTTTTTGTGTTTGTTTTTAAGTTTTTAAATTAAAAATATTTTTGGAGATAATCAACACCAGTTAAGTTGAAAATTATGGTGATTGTGATCATGAAAATGGTATTACTATAAATTATCCTTTAGCTCCTAAAGAATTAAAAGATTTGTCATACTTATTAATAATAATAGTAATAATAAAAGGCTTAGCGAATCCGAAGGTTCCATGGATGCAGACATCACCAATCCCTTATTACACACTTCCCTCCACTGTTTGCCATCCAAACTCAAACCCTTCAGATAGGCTTTAATGCAATATTCCTACCTTCCCTTCCATCTACCCCTCGACGCTTACCATTGGGCACAGCAAATATTAACCTTTTAGGAATTATCTCATTACTAAGTCCAACAACTTACAAGCCCATTTGATTTGCCGCGATGAAATTACCCGGATACAGTTCACGCAATTCGGCATTGTGTAACTGTCTGAACTCTGGGGCCGAATATTCTACGCAATACTTTATTTTCAAAAATTTTAAGACGCTGCTCATCCCTTAATGTAAGCGGCCACGTTTCGCATCCTTAAAGAACTGTAGGCAAGATAATTTTTTTATAGATTCTAATTTTTAATTTCCGGAACAAGAGGCGCGAACTAAGTTGTTTTGTCACAGAAAAATAACAAGCATTTCCCGCCTTCAGCTTAATCTTAATCTCTTCTTTAATTTCGTTTTTTCTAGTTATCGTAGAACCTAGATACCTAAATTTCTCTACCTGTTCAAACATATTACCATCTATATCCATGTCACCAGTAGTATCGCCATTTTTGCAGCTAACCATATTTGTTTTATCCACGTTAATTTCGAGTCCTAGTTCTTTACCGGCTTTCATTTACGTTGTCCTATTTAGTTTTATAGTTTCAACGTCTTCGCTTAACAGTACCAGATCATCAGCATAGCCCAGCACGGATGTTGTCTCAACCAGATCCAACACTTTCTCGGTACGCATTACCTCCCTAATTGCATGTTCTAAATCCAAATTGACAGGACAGGCGAAAGGGAATCCCCCTGTTTTAAACCTGAACGAACCTCAAATTTTTCGGACAGATTATTACCGATTCTAACTTTATTGTGTGTCTCCATAATTGAGTGTGACACAGATCATAATTTCCCGTATTTAATATATTGTCAAAGTGGTCCTTAAACTTATTCAATATGTCAACCGGATCGGTCAGAATATTGTTATTATCATCTCTAATTCCAGACGTTACGGGCCCTACACATTTACGTGATCTGTTTATACCTTTGTACATGTCTATTACGTTATTTTCGATTCTGTTTCAATTATTTTATTTTTAAGATACCCCTTTTTTTATTTTTGAGCAATTTAGTCGTTTCGTTCTTTGAGGTTCGGAAGTATTCCAGATTGTCTTCGCTAGGATTATTTAGAGCTTTTAATTTAGCGGCTTTTCTTTTTTCGCACATGTTTAAGCAATCTTCATCAAACCACGGTTTGTTATTCTTATTTTCCATTCTTCCTAGACACGAGTTACCGACCGCTTTAATATTATCCCTGATCTCTACCCATAACTTGTCAATATCCTCGTGGTCCTCGTCAGGAAGCTCTAACGCTTCAAACCTATTCTTAACATCTAGCTCGAATTGGGTTATAATTGATGGATTTTTTAATTTTTCAAAATTAAAATTCTCAAAATCGAAACGGTTTTCTTTTCTCTTTTTTATATTAAGTTTTTGTCGAAGTTTCACGATTACTAATTCATGATCCGACCCACATTCTGCTCCGCGATAAGACCGTACATTAATTATACTGCTTTGCCAGCTTTGTTGTATCAAGACATGATCGATTTGATTTCGTGTTTGCGAATCCGGTGATGTCCATGTATATTTATGAATATCCTTATGTCGTACTTTTAATTATCAGGTTTTTCGAGATGGCAAAGTTTATCAGACGGATCCCATTATCATTACTATATTCGTGCAAACTTTCTTTACCAATCGTCGGAATATAAACATGTAGTTTCGCGGTAGTTTATCATAAACCCATTCGAGTTTATCGTAGAATTCACTTTTGACTTCATCGTCACTGTCTTCGGTTGGACAATGTATGTTTATTAATGCGATTTTAAACCAACGTCCCTGAAATGTGGCTACCGAAATTCTATCACTAAAGAATTGTACGTCCCTCAAAGCAGATAGTAATCTATTCCTAATTAGAAACCCGGTACCTAAACAATGAGTCCCGCTTCCTCCGTACCAAATAGTGTACTTTCCTTCCCTCATCGAGCCCTCTCCTGGCCAATGAACCTCTTGCAGAGCCACGAGATCCATATTGTACCCATTTACCTCATTCGCGACCGATTTTAGCCCCCCTGCTGTTTACGTTCTTACGTTCTAGGTACCAATATTTAAATCCCTATAGCAGTCCCACCCGGAGAGCCGAACGGGGGACTAGTTTGCCTCCGGATAATGAACGTTTTACCTTAGGGAGATCCATGACTATTTGTGGTGTTTGGTGAACTAAAGATATGAGTAGGGCGTTCAATTGTACATCACACCCTCCAGCAGGTCTGGTTGGCCCCTACCTCCAGCAAGTCTGGAGGGCGCCTCTCTTTGTTGGTCAGCGAGTCCATCAAACTTAGCCGGGAGGAACTTCCAAGAAATTTCCATATCCACATCCGCCACCCGTGGGACGTTCCCCATATGCGGTAATGAGTCAGCGCGAGTGGCATACTTATTAATAAGAAATAATATAAACATACATTAATACATTTCTAATAATGAATTGTATGTATCTTTCAAGCATGAAATTTTATTACTACATATTTCACTTTAATTGTTGTAGTTTTGTTTTAATGTCTTCTAGTGCTATAAGCTAAATAGTTTCAGAATAATAAATCTGCAATTTTTTATTTAATTAGCATTTTGTATATTTTAAGATATTAAATTGTAAATTGGGATAGTATGTCATAAGATAATTGACTTCTATTTATGTATTTAAACCAAATACAGATATGAAGTAGTGTATTCTCTAAATAAACTAGGAACATAAATGTTTTCTGAATTAAATTTTCAATTTTTTGGACAGGATATTCAGTTCAACTAAAAAAGGAAACTCCTGTATTTGTCTTAAATATTTGTATTTAAATTTTTCAAATAAGTTACATATTTAGCTCAATAAATATTCGCAAAAAACAGGACCTATTTTAAAAAATTCATAATTGGCTGTAAATGTGGGAATTAGTTCCTTAAGAAATATAGAACAAACCATGAAAAGTCCCATAAAATCCCATGACCCCTTCCATTTAAAATAAAGGCACAAAGATGGCCACCAAGTGCTTTCTGTCTTATTTTATGTTTTCCTTGTTATCTTCGTTTAAAACCATCTTTCTTGAATTCCATAAGTGGTAATATAATAAGTAAGGATGCTTGTTTTGGATTCCATCGATGTTCACCTGATAAGAAATGACAAACGAGCTGTTAATTGATCCATTTGGCATCAATAAAGCGAAATTTTCTTGATTCTAATTTTGTCACCTCTCGTAACTTTAAAACTATTTACAAATACGAAATAATGTTCCTCATATTTTTTGTAGTACTTAGTAAGAGGGATGTTTATAAAATGACTTTTCGCCTTTTCATTTAGGTTATATCTGAGCTCCATATGGAATTTAATGTTTTTTTAAATTCAATTTAAGCTTATGTAGATTCGTAATATACGAATAGGCAAAATACCGTTGAACTGCTAGAAATTTAGAACTGATTAGTTCTTTAAAAATATTGTTATGGATTTTATGTCCCTCATTTCAACAGAATATATAAAAACTATATTAATTGTTAAAGTTAGCTGTATTTAAAGAATTTAATAGATATAAAGTGCCTAAGTTGAGTGCAGTAGATAACATGACAAAATATCTTCAATACCATACTTTAACGGCCACCACAGGCGGATCTACGAGAGGGAGGCTTTCGGGCTGAAGCCCCTCCCCCAAAATGGAAAAATATAACCATGTTTTATAGAAGATAATATTAAACACCATCTCTTAAAGCATTATTGTTCATGTAATTATATTTAATAGGAATTCCCTTTTCTTCGGCCCAAGACTCCCACTGAAGTACTATGCTGCATT